CTTTCGTTTCTTTTTGTTTTTTTTTCTTTTTCTTTTCTTTTTCTTCTCTTCGTGGGGACGAGTGTGTGCATGCCCATGCCCAATGTAGTAATTATCTTGTGCGCGCGGGGGGTTTTTCTTTTTTCGTCGATCTCCACCCTTGCCCGCCCATGGCGGGGAAAAAAAGGAAGGAAGGAGGGGTACGTGTTGTTTCCGCATTCGACTCTCGCTCTCGCTCTCTCTCTCTAGCGACGAGGGATTTTGGGTCACGACCGGGGAAGGATTATCACCGCCGATAGATTGGATTGATTACTCACTCACTCACTCACTCGTATCGAGGGTGCGATTTCCGGCATTGGGCTGATTTTATTTTTGGAGGATTTTTCCGGCGTCGGTTGCGTGGAGTTAGTGCTATAAATGTGTATCGTGACTTATTATTATTATCGTCGATGCAGCGAGGGTTGCCTGTCTGTCGTCCGGGCAAAACCTTCCTCTCCTCTCCGAAGCCCCGCCAATCGCAGGGAAAAAGCAAGTGCAAATTTCTGATTTGTATACCTCCAACAGAGGATACTATAGATGAGCATCCCTGGATGATAGTCTCGGTATATGAGTTCCTCCTTGTCTTATCTTCGTTCACGGCCTCGCTAAGTCCAACTAGCAGCACAACCCAACACTTTGAGAATGTGGAGCCGTGATATATCACTCTGGACATATATGTCTGTGGGTGAAAGTTCTGTCGCTGGGCCGGCGTCATCGATTATGCCTTCCGTCTTGCCAAGTACTACTACTACTAGGAGCTACAAGGGACGTGCTGTTCATGAAACATACTACGTACTACTCCGACCGAACGACAGTCGAGACTCGATATTACAGTTCCAAGTAAGATTAGGTAGTACTACTAGTATCTATCTAGTAGTAGTTGGTACTACTACGTACAGTAGTAGGTAAGGGAAAGGACTGGGGCAGCGACTAGAACTTAGTATTTAGTACGTACAGTAAGTACAGTAAGTACAGTATGGGACGGAAAGTTGTACTGTACCTGAACTGACGTGTGCCAGGATCATGGAAGGGACGGGGAGGGGAGGGGAGAACGAGAGAGTTTCTTGAGGATCGACGCGGGAATGCAGGCATGAGACCGACACAGACAGACACAGACAGACACAGACACAAACACAGACACAGACATCGACACAGACATCGACACAGACATCGACACAGACACAGAACACAGACAGAAGAAAGCACGCACTTTCTGAAGATGCCATCATCCACAACCTCCGTCTCCGTAGGCTCTCTCCACTCATTCCATTCCGGCACATCTGTCCCATCTGTGCCGTCTGTCCCGTCTGTCCCGTCTGTCCCGTCTGTCCCGTCTGTCCTCTTCTTCCTCTCTTCTTCCTCTTCCTCTTCCTCTTCATCTTCCTCTAGCTTCATGCATTTATTCATTCATTCATTCATCACTCGATCCGCTCTTCCTTGTGGCTTGATCCTGTCTGACTCATCTGGCTCTCTAAACCACTTCTCCCAACTCCCGAACTCTTGGCACGCCCCACGACTGACTGTTCCTGGATCCATCCAAATCCGGACAATTGGCTCGTGGCGCTACACGTACACAACAACCGTATGCCGAATAGAGATTCTGCCTGTGATCCTAGCAAGGTCCTCTCTTCTCTCTCGCTCCGTCTCTCTCTCTCATTCGTTGTTGTGTCGAGAAAGGTTTTTTTTTCTCTTTCTTTTTCTTTCTTTTCTTCTTCCTTTCTTTCTTTTTTTCTTTTTTCGGTTGTTGTTGCCGTGGCCCCATCGGGACCTGAACGCACGGGCTGGCCCGTCCCGGTCCCGGTTCAGTAAGGCTTTCCTATTAATAATATTCCCTAGGGTGGAGGGGTGGAGGATTTCCCGTTTCACTTTTCTTCCCATTGTTACTCCGAACCTACTTCCCACTCTCCCTGTTGATTGTTTCCGAGACATCAAGATGCCAGCCACCGTCGTGACAACACATATCTCGGAGTAACAAACCATGGAAAATCGCCCCAAATCCCTCAGGCCAGCGCCTAGTGAAGTGTCACAATGGAGAGCGGTGGACCCTGGAGAATCCGCTGTCCCCGTCTCAACCCACACATCCGGCCAATAATGCGGGCGCGTTCCAGAGCTCTCGATGCTTTGACACTTGAAATCTGTTGGGGGGCCCCAGGGTCCGGATTTCCTGCCCGAGCTGGCTGGTCCCGAAACGAGTCCAGGCAGCGAGCCTCGAAGATAGTAGTACTAGTGTAGTAGTAGTTGTAGTCGTGCAACTATAACTATATCCGTACAACTAGCTACTACGTAAGTAGTAATTACCTATGCGTGCGCCATGAGGCTGACGGGAGAGCTTCCCGCCGCGTTCATCCGGTCCCGATGATCTGAGACATGGTCTTTGAAGAGTTTTTTTTTCCCAGAGACGGGCACGGACGCGCTTACGGCTGCTGCTGCTGCAGCTGCGGCTACGCCCGGCCGACACGTAGTACTACGTAGTTGTAATACAGTAGGAATGTTTTTCTACATTACATACGCTGCTAGCCAATTGCGGAGTGCCCCATGAAAGAAAAGACCAGCCGACAGCTGTGGTGCTACGCGAAGGCCTGCCGCTTAGGATCGCCATAATCGTCGGCTTACATATTTGGCGGTACGGTACTGTTCGACAACAGTCGAGGTGACAGTATCAAATTCGGATAGGTAGTAGTTAGTTAGTACGTCGGTGGGTCCACGCTGAAACAACTAATAGACAAGGTACGACAGATGTCAAGGAAGAAGCCTTGTACGCTTTGTTGTTAGAGTCTCAACCAATGATTGGGCTTGCCGGAGAGACACCCAATATGATCGCTGCTCCTCTGAATTCTCAGTTTCGGGATCTTCGTCCGTGTTGTTATTCATCACCATGCGGTTGCATCTTACACTTCTCCAATCCGCACGAGCTCGCTCGCTCGTGCGGCCCCTCGAAGACAAGAAAAGAGAGTCGTACAAAGAGATCGATCCGTTGGGGCAAGCGCTTCATACTGGTCCCACACTTTCCCAATTCACGATCCAGTGCCGTTCTGGATACCTATCCGGATCAGTAAAGAAGTCCAAGGGTAGGTAGGTAGGTAGGACAGGCAGGCAGGCCTCTTTTTGTATTTTCTGATTCTAGTATATGCACAGCTTTCCAGTGGTCCCTTCTTCCACGCGAGCAGTGTACCTCTGCACTCTCGCCCGTCTCACAATGTTCTTCGGGGCTGAGAGGTCTCCAGCGACAATAATCCCATTGCAAGAATGCTCCGCTGCAAAACCGCTATTCTCCGAGGCGATGCAAGGGAGGAATGACGGAGTAGCCCGTGCTACAGCAGCAGGAATGCAGACGCAGAGTGACGATTGGTACGTGACTCACGTGAGCACAAGGTGTGTTTGGGGCTCACGACCTTGAAGTCAGGGGCTGCGGAATCCTACATGCTGCTTTGGCAGCACTTGAGCAAGTATGCTCACAATGAAATCAGAAGCCTCGGTCGAGAGCCGGATCTGGTCTTCGGCGGCACATAGAAAGTCGCACGGCATAAATGTACATTGCTTTGGGCCTTTTTCTGCAAGCTGCATTCTCCTCCTCATCCTCAATGCGGATCGACGTTCCACGTTCAAGATGTTTGCGAATCTCTTCCCACTTCACTACCTTCCTCCAACACGGGTACGGCACAGTCCTCACCTCAAGCGAGGAAACAGCAGGCCACTTCGTGTGTTGAAGCAGGCAATGAGTGCCGCGCGGGTCGTACAGCATATCAGCACAGCAGCTATTTCTCTTCACGTCTACTTGTACATATACATGTCTGCACCGCTCGCGTCCACAATCCCAACACTGGGCGCGCGAAGGTACAGGAGAATCAGATTGCCCGGGTAGTACAAACGGCAAGCGAGGAAAGGGCCAGGTGGGCAGTCGGCACGGATAGCTGCATCTTGGATGCGGCTGGGTGACTTGGTGACCAAACTGTTGGGAGGAGTCGTTGTTGGCGGATGAGAGAGGGCGCTTCTGTGCGATTGCCGCTCATGCGGGTAGTTACGCTCTGAGCTGTGCTGGTGCTGCTCTCGAGGTGCAGCTTTGACAGCGAGGTGGTGTCCCTGATCGAGTGATACGTGTAGGGAGGGGGTGAGGTATCGGGAGTTCAGAAAGCGGGCAGGTATACTGAGGTTGTACTGGGCAGATGATATCTGTCGATCATGGTCATAGACCACCTGGTATCTCTCGTTTTTTTTTATGTTGATCGCTGCACCCCGAAACCTTTTTGCACGCGAGTACCTGGTGTTTCTTAGGGGGGGCTGGACCTTGATGGGCCCTCCTGGAACACCACTCACTGCCTGGTTCGTTTTGGCGTGGACGGCAACTTTGTAACGAGAGTGGGCTCTTCTCGTTGCAATCTGATGAGTGCATAAGCCAGAAGTTGTCGGGATGTCGTGTGAGCACTCGGCTACAGTACCGTCCCCATCTTGTGTGGGAAACCGGGTGGTCCTTGATGCATCCAGCCCTAGCTGGATATCGCCGGCAGCTTTAAGCGATCTCGATCTCGTACTCCCGTATGCGTCGACCTCACGAGAACCGGATCGAGATATCGATACACACGGGATGGTCTGCTGCATTTGTGGGTCGGGTAAGAAGTCCAAAGATCGGAAGCCCCGGTTTTATTATGGTTCGAACGGTGGAGATGGGTACCTACCTAGTAGATAGTAGTAGTAGTAGATACCTTGAAGGGGAATGCTAGAGACCTTTGCACAGTCAGCTGATCATCCGATAACGATCTCTTTCAGAGACGGTTGGTCCCCCAAGAGGTTTAGCACGGCTAGTGGACCACCCCAGGTCTAGATGCAAGATCGAACAGCTTCTCAAAAACACACACGATTTTAGATCATTTGCATCGCAGCTGAGGTGAAGCCATTTTCTGATCGATCAAATCGTCGTTTTCTGTACGAGCGCGTCTCTCCGTTCGTCCAAAGACAGTTCCGTCCCTTGGGACCGTCCCCCGAACCTTGAAACCGTCGCCGGAAAAAAAAGAAAAAAACTTGTACGTAGTATTAGTGAGCAAATAATTCGTGCTCTTAACACCTCCTTGGGGGGGGGCCCTTTTGCCTCTCCCTCCGCCCTGGCGCGAGAGCTAGACGGGATTCCCGACAAACTTTTGCTGAATCTATCGTTTCAGATTTTTTAAACTCGTGAGAAGCGATGAAGTTTTTTTGGGGGGGGTTTTTTTTCTTTTTCCTTTTTCCCTCCTTATACGGAGCTGGAGGCGGCTGCGATGCCGAGAAGAAGGCTCGGCTGCGAACATCGGCTTGGTCCAAAGCAAGATGTTCCAGACACAGACACCCTTTTCATCGGTTGGGAAAACATACTACGTAAACGATTACTGACATCGGGTTGATGATAGAGTTCGTTTCAGAAGATTTGGACGAGGATGGGCTGCTGCAGGACGGCTGCGGGAAGGTCTCTTTTTTTTTTTTCAGTGGGACGCTTAGGGGGGGTCTACGGTACGGTAGCATGTCTAGGTGTTGCCGGTACCTACGGGGTAAACCCATTTCTTGGATGAGGTTTAATAGTTACTGACTTTTGAGCGGCCCAATGATCATACTACGTACTAGTACTACTATGTCTAGGTGTTGCCGGTACCTACGGAGTAAACCCATTTCTTGGATGAGGTTTAATAGTTACTGACTTTTGAGCGGCCCAATGATCATACTAGTAGTACTTAGTATCTTGTAATAGAGGGTTGTACCTAGGATCGTTGAGACGACCCCCTACTTTTTCCTTCCTTTGAGGTAGAGCAGGTGTTTACGTAGTAGACATTCGTCTCGGTATTAAAGGACGATGATCATGTTTGGTTAGAAATGCGGTCGTGGTCCTTGATCGGAAACTGGACAGCTTCGGTGGTAGCTGACGAGATTGCCCGATCGGTTAGTGGTATTACGTCGAACGCAGCTATGGATTGATGCCTTGTGTGGTGTTCTTAGAACTGATTTGTGGAGCTGTAGGACTTCTTGCATGGCGTGTACGAACGAATGTACGTAGTACGTAGTACGTAGTATGTATAGGTATTTCCATACGTCGATCGGTGCAAGGTAGCTGACGTGGTTGCTTGTGTCAGAACATGGAAATGGGGAAAAGAACGGATAAAGAACTGGGGAATAGAGCTGAGGAATAGAACTGGGGAGTAAGAGCTGAGAGAGAGGTATGCGACTGAGGAATAGAACCGAATGATAGAGCAAAAGAATGGAGAGAAAATAACAGGAATCCCAACTTCATCCGTATTATCGTCGGGCACGATGATTTACGTCGATTTGGATCGCAAGCTACGGTACATACAGAGTATCTCTATCAATGCTGGTGATAGCGATGGAGAATTGACAGAAAGGCAAAGCGGAGTGATGCATGAGTGGGTAACTACCATACGCCTCGGTAGCTAGCGACGGCGTATTCACAGATGCTGCTTCTGCTAGGTACGTAAGAGATAATTGCCACGCCTGAAAGCTTTTGGCCTCCGCCCACAAAACATGTGGAAAGCATAATCAGCCCTAAACCGTAAAGCGGTGGTTCCTGAATGGCTCAAAGCCTTGTCAACCCAATTGCACAGACTAAATACGGGCTCAAAGATGCTTTTTTTTCAAGGCTGAATAAATCCTTATAGTGTTTACGTAGGGATGCATCGTTGGATACTTTCTCCTACGCTACGTAATATACTAGTGGTAGTAGTAGCTAGCAAGGGCGTGCCCACAAAAGCTGGTCTGGCTACTGGATTTCTACGTGATTGATTTTTGGCGTTTGCACTAGAGGTTAGCGATAGAGGTTTAAGCATTAGAGGTCAGTTCGTTCTGAACGTACTGATTATTAGGCTGAGTTGCCTCGGCTGCAAACTCCTTCTACGGAGGTGTATAGGTACGGAGCCGAGGGTAAAGTATGTCACCGCCTTCGCTCGCAGGGGGGATCGGCCAGGTTGATTTTTGGTAGTGAAATATTCTGCCATCAATTCTGCCATGTACGTAGGACGGGCTGGAAGGCGGTGACGTACTTTTACCCTATACCGACCATGTCAATTGAGTTTAGTGCCATGTTGCCTAGCGCAAAACTAAGACGTCTGCCCCACCCAGGGAAATATTTTTTTTTGGTCTTGCTCGCGATTCTTTCTGTCTTCCCCCCCTCTGGCAAGGACCAGCAAGGGCACCATAACACGACAAGATGAAGTATGTTTTGGTTTCTGGAGGTGAGTCATGTGTGGCTCTTGCTACCGAGAGAGAAATTCCAATGAGGGACATGCGCTCGCTGACAGTGTGCGAATCGCAGGTGTCATCTCGGGGATTGGGAAGGGCGTCATTGGTATGTACCTCCTACCTATATGCGATTGAGGCTGGGATTGGGATTGGGATGGGAATCGGAGGAAGGGATAAAGAGGGTTCATGGCGTGTGGGGAGGGATTGAGAGAGAGGAAAAGGAGGGCTTGAGTGAAGCAGGGCTGATCTTCCTGGGTTTCCAGCCTCGAGTACGGGTCTGTTGCTGAAGACTATTGGGCTTAAGATAAGTTTTCCCCGACTTAATTTGTATGCGCAGCCAATAGACTGACGGGACTACGTCTCTAGCATTAAGATTGATCCGTATCTGAATGTCGATGCGGGGACCATGGCGCCCACCGAGTAAGTAGTACTTTTCTATGGGAAAGAAGGTGGAACGGCTTGCGGATTGCAGAGCGGGTATATGGCCTAGACTACTTCAATAAGGACAAAATTTTCTTGTCCTTGTTGAATGCCGCTTCATTCAGAATACCCAACTTTGCTAGGCCAGCCCAGCTAATCGGGTCCACAGGCATGGTGAAGTCTTCGTCCTCGACGACGGTGGAGAAGTCGACCTCGACCTGGGAAACTACGAACGCTACCTCAATATTACCCTCACGCGCGAAAGCAACATCACAACCGGCAAGATCTACCAGCATGTCATCGAGCGCGAGCGTCGCGGTGATTACCTAGGCAAGACAGTCCAAGTCGTCCCCCATCTTACGGATGCAATCCAAGATTGGATCGAGCGCGTAGCTCGTATCCCAGTCGACGATACCAAAGAGACGCCGGACGTCTGTATTATCGAGCTGGGAGGAACAGTTGGAGATATCGAGAGTGCGCCGTTTGTCGAGGCTATGCGACAACTGAAGAGACGAGCGGGCAAGAACAATTTTCTACAGATTCATGTTTCGCTCATCCCGGTCATTCAAGGGGAGCAAAAGACCAAGCCAACTCAACAGGCTATTCGGGATGTTGGCCGGGCTGGTCTGGTACCAGATTTGGTGAGTTCTGCACTCATGGGACGGGGATTGCGTGCTGATGGGAACAGATTGCTTGCAGATGCGACATTCCACTGGAAAGAGGCACCATCGAGAAGATTGCGATGTTCTGCGACGTCTTGGCCGAGCAAGTTGTTGCTGTTCATAACGTCTCATCGACTTACCACGTCCCCCTGCTCCTCGAGAAGCAAGGTTTGATTAAGACGATCAGCAACATCCTCGTGCTTGATGAAATCCCCAAGGCTCCAAGTCTGATCGAGCGCGGACAGCTGACCTGGATTGAGTGGAAGAAGCTCACCTCTCAACAAGACCGCCTCTTCGACACCGTCGACATTGTGCTCGTCGGAAAATATACCAACCTCCACGACAGCTACCTCTCCGTTATCAAGTCCCTCGAGCACAGCGCCATGCGCTGTGGCAAGAAACTTAATCTCCTGTGGGTTGACGCCTCGGACCTCGAAGACGAAGCCAAGATCGCCAATCCAGCCGCTCATCACAAGGCCTGGCACGAAATCTGCACCGCAAACGGTATCCTGGTTCCCGGCGGCTTCGGCCATCGTGGCACGGAAGGCATGATCAAAGCCGCAGAGTGGGCGCGTGTTAACAAGACTCCTTACTTGGGAGTCTGTCTAGGCATGCAAATCGCCGTCATTGAGTTTGCACGCAACGTCTGCGGCATTACGGGCGCGAGCTCTGTCGAGCTGCACGCCGATTGTCCCGACCCTTTGGTTATTTTCATGCCAGAAATTGACAAGACGACCCTCGGTGGGACGATGCGTCTTGGCCTGCGGCCGACAATTTTCCAGCCCGGCTCCGAGTGGTCCCGCCTGCGCCAGCTCTACGGCGAAAAGACGGAAATCCTCGAGCGCCATCGCCACCGGTACGAAGTCAACCCCGAGTATGTGCCTAAACTCGCTGCCAAAGGCCTCGATTTTGTCGGGAAAGACGACAAGGGCGAGCGTATGGAAATTTTGGAATTGAAAGACCACCCTTGGTATGTGGGTGTACAATTCCACCCGGAATATTTAAGCAGAGTGCTAGATCCGAGTAAGCCGTACTTGGGCTTTGTGGCTGCCGCGTGTGGGTGTTTGGAGAAGGTAACGGAAGATTTTGGCAACCAATAAAATTTAAATGTCTGAAATCGCCAAACCCCCTCCCTGCTCTCCTTCCTTCCTTCCTGGGGGGGCTGCGATTCTTTACCTGTACGAGGTGGTACCCCCTACGAACCATCAGCTCCCTCCTGCGGCAGAGAGTCTGGAGAGCCAAAATTGGATCAATCGATAAGCGGCGTCTTCTCGAAGAGATTTTCCTTTACAGGCGGTTTCGAACCTCCCTCTTAGCTCGACCACGCCGATTACGATCTATGCTTAGCGGGCACACGGATTTAATAGATTAGGAAGATTTACGGTAAAAGGGAAACGGGTGTAAAGGATAGGATGGCTCAGTTCGATCGATCGGAAACACGGTGTTAGGCCTTTGAAAGAGCGCCTCACAAGTACGGCCGACTTAATAAAAAGAAGTTAATAATCGCGAGATATTTAATAGTTTTACGATAAAGAAAGGGTTTACTTATATCGTACGGACCGAGGCCGTTAATAAAGCCACGCGTATACGAACTTATCGAGACACAACTCGATACGAAACATGAAATGCGTTTGAGACGTTTATAATGAATCTGCGATATCGCGGGATCAGAAACCCGAGGCTATTTGAAAGAATGATTTTCCTTAACGTGGTTTTGGTTTTACTCTCGATTGGGTAATGCTTTATATATAACTCTTCCATTTAGCATGTCCGTCTTCGTACCTTATAGAAGGTAGTGGGGCTCAAGCAATACGTTTTAGACACCCGCCAGCGTAAATCCTATTACTATTACTACTTCCTTCTTCTCTTCGAAATTTCCCCCCTCCCCCCCTCCTTTAAAAAAAAAAGATATGGCCCTCTTCTTGATTTCCTTTTTGTAAGACTTTATCATGAAATATATATAGATGACTTCTTAAAAAACTTGTTCGTCAACAATCCTAGTGTGCTAGGATCCGCAGAATTTATACGGCGGCTTCTGTGGATCGAACACAGTGCCTCCAGATGGTCTCATTGGTTTCTGAAGTTAAGGCGCTCTCCCAACCGAGTAATTTGTCAGTAGCTATTGCATCCACAGGCAGCACGAAGAGAGACCTACGTGAGCTAAAGCCGCTTGGTACGTGTTGCGTGAACAATTGTTAGGTAATACCATACATACCGTATACCTAGTCTGGTTCAAATCAGACCTGGGCAAGCCGTGCGCGGTGGGGCCAGCAAGGTAGACAGAGAAGCGAGAAGAAAGGACGACTTCAGCGAGCAGAATCCAGCGTTGCAAGTAATACTCACGGAAGCGAAGCATGTGTCGCTGCTCGAAGCTGATGATTCTGATACTTGCTTGATCATCTCTTGCCAATCGGCTACTTTTCGCCGTTTGTCCGTCTCCACCGCGCGTGGGCTTGCCGAGGTCTCATTTCAACCAGTTTGTACGATATCACTGTACGTACGTAGTCTTTTTAGGCGCGCGGGGTAAGGGGAAGGGGCTCTACCTACATGCGGCTGCGAAGCCGCCGATTTGCGGCACGGGCCAATAACAAAAAAAAAAAAAAGTCTTGATCTTAGAATTACTAGGTAGTTATTCGCAATCCAAATCAAGGCCTGAGATAATGAAAATGTGTCGTTGGGCCATCTCGACGTCTGCATCCGGTGAAGTCGATGATTACGACGTCGATTAAATAGTTATTTACATTTCGAAAAAAAAAAAACTTTGAAGGTAGGTTAAGGTGGGTGGCCCGTGCCGCAAATCGGCAGCTTCGCAGCCGCATGTAGAGGAGGGGTAAACGCTAACGTTGGAAGAGGGGCATGCAGAAGGACGGCAGAAGCGAACTGCTTCGATACTAGAGAAAAGTTTAAATAATATACAAGAATCTGTGTATATCTGCTTATTGGCTTACTAGAATTTGGTTTACAGTATCTGGTTTTTTTTTTTTTTTTGCTGGGGGCTTTCGTTTTATGGAAACCTGGTTTGCTTCAAAGGTAAGCTCTTTTTCTGGGGGATATCGGGCCGGTTGACGGCCCCCACCAAAAAAAAGAATGATATCAATAAGCAGCTAGGCAGATCCGCAGAGACGAATAATGATGCTTGTAGTCAACGGGCTGTATACAATTTTGATGATAAGCGTAAATTTATGCGAAAAGCAATACTTGATTAACATTGCATGTTTCTAAAGAATCCCTTTAGTAAGCGATTCCTTCTTCGCTACATGTTTTGCCTTGCCCGCGATCCAAGGCCTAATCGGATCCTGGTCTTATCGTGGATTGATATTCTGGTTGCAATCGGCACTAGTTCTTTATCTCTGCGACCACAAAAAATAGGCTTTCGGAGAATTGCAGTTGTGGATCGAGAGACTCGAGAAATCGAAGACCTTTAAAACGGTTCAATATTGTCAAAGTCAGCTGACATCAATCACAGAGTTGCTAGGGTGCTAGGGGCCACCTTGGTCCGCGCCTGATATCAGTGATAGCAGGGGGAGTTAGCAGAGTTGACAGCAACAGATTTCCCACCTGCTTTTGCCTAAAAACACCCATTGATAGATATCCGTCCACTTCGATGTCAAGGTACCCCTTGTGCACCCCTACACCATTAATGTAAGAAGGTTTCCGCCCTGCCGACACGATCTTGGGAGTGAGAAAAACTCTAAAAAAGCAGAAAACCCTGTCAAGACTTGACAGGAAGGTATCAAGTCTTAACAGGTTTTTTCTGCTTTTTTCCTCGATTTTTCCCACTATGTTTAAGAATTTCCTTCCTCTCTCAAAGAATAATGGTAATACTTGAGCTTTCAAAATTCGAATAATAAATCAATATAAGAAGTAAAGATATTTATAAGTATTATAATTTTATGACCGTATTCAACTCTAAAACAGCGATTTGCGTCTCTTTTAAACACTCGGCTTTGGCCCTCTTTTTGTCGTCAACTCATCCGTAAGGGGTCGCCCAGGCGATTAGCGACTTGACGAAAACTTCTAAAACCCGCTCACGAGCAAGGGTATACGATTCTGAAAGCAAGGGTGTACGATCTGTAAGCCGAACGTTACTAAACTAGGTATAAAACATGCTCCAGGGCTTTAAACGATCCTTGACTAGTTTTTAGCACTGGGAAATTGCAAGGTACATTGAAAATGCTGTATTTTCGAGATTGCTATACGGTAAAAGAACTTTTTTTTCGGTACATCAATATCGACCCGACGTACTACGTCCCCGGCGCAAGTATTACCCCTCGAGGGTAGGGTAACCGGGGGTTCAAAGTGGAAACTAAACTTTTGAGGCACCTTCGAGGGGTAATACTTAGGCCTGTACCGTGGTAGTTGGGAGGGATATGGCAGGTTCGGCTATCTCAGGCACGGATGAGTATGTCTCGCTTAGCGTGGCATGTCCCCAGGGAACCCCCAACTTCGTTGTAAACACTATTATATAGCTATTGCACATGATTCCTTCTAATCTTCTAGAAGGAGTCAGCTCCCTTGAACCTTGGGGAGCACACAGAACTCAAGTACCATTTCTACGCATTGTTTGGCAATTGCAAGAAGCTACGTGCGCTTGCACGCTAGTGACACGAACGTTCGCTACCGGCGATACAACACTTTTAGCAGTTGCTGGGCTCGAAAACGCTTATAACTATAATCGCTTACGAATATAACAGATCGGACGGGGAAAAAATGGGATTTTAGTTGGATATTCTATTAAATAATCGAAAAGACGATGTATCGAGCTGCTAATAGTTAATCGCAATAAAAGGCGACCGCAGCATATAAACCAGCAATAATGAATTGCCGCTAATGAAAAGCATTAGAGTTGATTGAAGGTGCGATACCGCGAGATTAAACTTCGGTTACTTTCAATCATAATTCGAAGAAATTGGTCGACTTGCTCTAGCAAGTCGAAAACACTAAGGCCGAATAATAACGCTACAATAGCCATCAAGCAACAACTACTAATATAAACTAAGAAAGAAAATATCTATGTACTTAGAAAACATCGCTTTACAAACGTATGTTATGTATATAATGATGTATAGGTACATATATGCTTTGAGTCAATACATTAAAAAGTAGTGAAAATACTACGTATGATTAAAAACTATCCTAAATAATGAAACTTTACTTGTCCGCTTGGTATATCTTGGCAAACATAATCATAAAAAAAACCGTCTTACGGATCAAAAGGAGATGATGGAGTCTATTATACTGTAAACGGAATTAATTATTAAATAGAAGTTGATAGTGATGCGAATGTACCTTTGATAGGTTTTAGTAAAAGTCAGACTTTCGTATTCCTCGCCTATTCTAATATTCATACGGGAATTCTAACATACTTCGTATACGCATAGTAAAACAATATGAAAATAACCAATAATACCTTCCTTCGCTTTTTGACTTGCATCAATGCTAAGGTTAAGCTTTGAATCGCTATTATGTAAATCTGCTAAGCCATTATCACTCCCCTCCCTCTTTATCGCTTTTCCTTTTGTCGTCTTCGAAATCGATTGCTTTCAAGCTCGAGAAAGGCGTTGTTGATTCTCCTCGCTTATTTAGCGCACGGACAGGTAAGTAACGTCGAAAAGTACTACAACAAAAGTATACTAAAAATACTATTTTTATTACTGTAACTTAGCAAAATAATAGAATAACAACTTTAAATTAAATTTGAATTTATCGACTAATATCGAAACTAGTGCGTTACATCTCTTCATGGAAAAATAATTGGGATATACAAGTTGGTAGATTATCTATCGATTAAATAAGGGTGAAATTTGCCGTCCCGCCTTCGTGGTGCCGACCTGGCGCAGCCAGCTCGGTAATTGTTTTCGAATTATGATTTAAGGTAACCGACGATTAGAGATCCGGGACTCTATATCGGTTTGTATCTTTTTCTTTCAGTGGTTTTAATTTGGTCGATATTAATAGACTTTGTATTCAAATAATCATTTGATTGGTTCAGACCGCGTTCCTTTACGGAGTATTTCAGTCGGGACTTAACGCCGGCACGTCAATATATCTTCAAGGAGGTGGTAAGTCGGACTCCTTTTAAGATCCGCAGCAGATGTTAGAACAATACTACTGCTACCATTACAACTACTACTATTATACGCTTCTTGAATCCTTCTCTTCGTATTTCATATTTAGGTCCGATCAGTTTTTAGCTTATGCTTCGAGTCCAGGGCGTATACCGTACTGTATAAACCTATCAAAGTGGCTCGCGGGGCTGTTGGCTCCACAGGATCGACGCACTGCCTGTATTGGCAAGGGCTGGACTTCTACTACTTCTACTACTAATTGATAAAGATATATTAATTATAGTCCTAGCGTAATTTCGAAGTCCGTCTGGATCTTTGCGCAGTCAACGCACTGATCAATTAGGAAACAGAGATTATCCGTTATTGGAAGCGTTGGGCGCCACTCTGCCGAGTTTATGCGGTAATCATTTAGAGTACTGTGTTTAAGGACCCGGCTCACTCCGACCTAATCCGATTCAATATTAGTTATAAGTAATTACGTTGATCTTTTTGAACCGAAAAAGGAATATTGCAATACTATCTATAGTTTATGTTTAAGATAATCTTCGATTGCGCTGACTTTGTTGGCCGCACCATTATTTATAGCCGACGTAGAAATTTCGAATACGGATGTTTAAGAAAGAGATATGTATTTCTTCTCGCACCTGCTTTAAAGTTAATTGATCATCCTCTTCCTTTGCAAGCTTCTTCCCGTTTGTTAGTTCTCATCATTTTACTTCAGATTCAATTCGTCATCCTCTTCCTTTGCAGGCTTCTTCCCATTTGTTAGCTCTCATAATTTTACTTTAGATTCAATTCGTCATCCTCTTCCTTTGCAAACTCCCTGTCGTTAGCTACAGACACGATGCCACGATCGAAGTTTGTCTTCGCGATCTTGCTGGCCTTGAGCTTTTTCTATGGAGCTCAAGCAACATTTTTCGGGCGCAAATTCATTGGCTATGCAAGAGTTTCCGAAGTAAGTTTCACTTGATTGATATGGCCTAAGCTTATACTGACTACACTAATTATAGAGTCTGGCTGAGCGCATCAATGACAAGAATAAACTAATTGTAGAAGGATCTGGTGGTTCAATAGGACCTGGCTTTTATCTGGGTGAGTTGATCTACCAGACCCCCCCCCCCCCCCGAGAATAAATACCGCTTGAGGGTGGCTCAAAAGCTTAAAACTCCGCTTTAAAACCTTTGGTTTCCATACCCTCAGGCGGTAATTATTACGCTTGTGAGATAGTATGTAGATCGTTACATATTTGCGCGGAGCTAATAATTTAAATAGTAAACGACCCTGCTGGCTGGATAAGTGAAGGGAGTTGGTACTGTGCCGTAAAAGCTAGTAAGAGGAAGATTAAAAAAATGGATAAAGTCTATATCCCGAAATCTCATCTAACAAAGATCTCGGAAACCCAAGTTGAGCGACAAAACTTATGGGGCGAAGACGAAACACTTATCGAGAAATACATCACGGGGCGTCACCTCGGGGGGAAATCATACATAAAAGACCCCAAGAAAACGCTACGCTTTTCATGGGTTAAGAATACCAATGAGCAATGGCAGCTGCAAATGGCTATTCCAAAGAAGGTGCTAGAGGAAAGTCATTTGGGTTTATGGGCGAAATGCTTTCAGTCAGAGGAAGAGCTGAAGAAATATTCGGACCGTGTCATTCCTTGGGAAAAATGGACGAAGGGCAAAAGATTCCCCCCCCCGCCTGAAGATTGGAGGAGCATGAATACCCATCTCATAACTAACTAATCGTCGGTTCCGCCTCCTCTCCCACAAGCCGTATATCAACAACAACCCCTTACTGTGGTAGTCGGGGCAAATGAATAATCGTAAATTTATTTAGTAATTACGCGAGAATGGCCAGCAGCTTACGTGACAGCAAAGCGAGCTTGGGACTGCACCTGCTAATGTATATACGGGCAATTGGGAGTTTACAGAATTTTAAAGGGCTTGTTTATTTGAATTATTTGAAGTTCAAAATGATAATTTATCTCTAGTCTTCAATTGTCAGCACCTCTAGCTCCACTACTAAAACGTAACCTCAATATATCCATAACCATGAATTTTTATGTCAGATCCACAATGATAGAGAATCACTGTTCGAGGCTCCGATGATGCTCCGTTGGTATTCAGACTGATCTCTAGCCTTCTCAACTCCTGAACTCCGGGGACCCCTTAAGGAATGTGACCAGTATCATACACGTGATCGAGCCAAGCCCGCAAAGCCCCCGAGTATACTCTACTCCTGAATTGATGAGGTTTTTATACTAAAAGTCCGAATACACAAGTACACGATTACCAAAGTCCCAATCTTATATATCGAACAAGCGGGAGACAGGTTTTAGTTCTCGTACCCAGCACACCAACGGGGAACTACAATCATGTTTGCTGGTGAGAGAGGGAAAGCAGCTCTAGCTGGTGATGAAGATTCTTGAGAACGAGAAAAGAAGAGTGTCAGGGAGATCGAAATGTCGACGCATAGGATGGGTCGCACTTCGATATCCCAAGAGAGTGTGATTCATTACATACAGAATTTTGACTGGGTAGACATTGTCAAGTGGAGGTTTCTTTCTCACCCATTCGAGTGGCCATGACGCAAGTATCCTATGTGTCGCCGGATGCAAAGACCAGATCATGCTGTTCAGTAGCGTGTGTGTATATCTCAAGTAGCTGAGGGGCTTCTGTTTGTTGAGTCATATCTCGCTGATATTGGATGTCGAGGCGAATGCGTGAATTTGAGGAGATTTCCAAGGAGGCTCGACTAGGGCATGTGCGATTGATAGGATTTATGGCAAATGGTGAAATTCGATGATGACGACGACGACGACCGGTAGAGTGTTTTGCGAGTTGGAAGATTAGGCAGACGTCTTGCAGGTTGTATGGACCTGTTGTTTGCCGCTCGTATGATCATTAAAGATGCGGTTGCTACCGGTATATGCATCAGATCAAATCTTCGCCATTTTCTCCCCAATGAAATCGACTATCGTCTGCAGCCCTTTGGTCCTCTCCTCTCTCGTACTGCTCAAGAACAAACTCGCTACCGGCCAAGCATGAATACCCCCCTCTTCTTCCTTGCACCGAACATCGATTTCTGAGTCTCCAACTAAGCCGACCCAGTCTCGAATTTCCGGCGCAAATACCTCCTCTTTCCCCCAGATCACGAAGAAGCCTTTGCCGGGTGAAGCGCGCCGCCACCAGGAAATATCTTTGCAGTTACCAGGGGAAATAGATGGGCCATCCGGAGAATAACGAGGACCTACGTATTGACATGCATAGCGATGCAGGCTTGCTGTATCGAGATAGTCACTTTTGGTGTTCTTGTCGAGGGAAGAGATGAGTGTCGTCCAAGGCGAGATAAGGATTGCTAGGCCGGGCACTACTCCTTCGATATCATTTGCTGGCTGGATTTCTCCTCTCTCCTTGTCATCGGATGATATATTAGTTTTCATCCCGTTGAGACTCGCTTTGGAACCCCCGATATGCAATAGTAGAGAAAGGATCAAGGTGCCGCCAGCTGAATCTCCGCTAAACACGACACGCGAGGGGTCGTGAATCTTATTCAAAGCATACCTGTAACCCGCAACTGCTTGGTGTAGTTGCTTAGGATAAGAGGCTTGTGGGGCAAGTGTGTATTCTAAGGCCAAAATGGCTGGGTTGGTGAACTTTGCCGTCGAGGAAAGTAGAGTAACAAAGGCCAGGAGAAACTCTAGGTAGAAATAGGATGTGCCCATGGAGAATCCGCCTCCTGTAGATGAAATTAGTCGTCTTTGATCTAGGGCAAACAAGAGACAGAAGCAAGCACCAAAAGCTGGAACGGATCGCGGACAGCAACCATTCCAACTTACCATGAGCGTAATAAATCACAATATCGGGTGGCTTGAAGCTATCCTTGATGATCCAAACGCCATTGAAGCCCTTACTCTTCACATCCTCCCAGTGGATTGGCTTCCTCACATACCCATGCCTAAGCATCCTCCATCTCAAGAACGGCGCAGCAGCTCCCCTCGAGAAGAACACACGTCCAATCTCGGCAGGAATGTATGCGAAAGCATATCTCACACACCTAATAACTAGATCCTCAAACCAAGAAGCATTTTGCACGAATGGAGGACGCTGGGACATTTCCAGGAGGAAGCGCTCATTGACAAATGTCAAAGGGAGACGGATCACTGAATGAGCATGGGGTTAGTGAGGTTTTAGCAAGCGGATGTTGAACGACATATCTCTGGTCGGGAGCCCCCTTGAGACGGTACATTTTGGAAGGCTAGCAGACGCCCAGGACACATACGAAGGAACGGCAAAGCTCTTAGACCACAGAAAAGAGTTGGGAAGAAACCGACATGTACGAGAAGCTGGGGAGCTAAGAAAAGCAGGAATACGAGGCAATCAAGCCAGGATACTTGTCCGAGTATCATGTTTGATTCGACTGCAGCTGATTCAATTGTAGAATTACTCGAAGGTACAAGCTCAAATGAGTTGAAGCATGCAAGAGACTACAACAGTAGGCAAGTTGTTGTAATGGTGGATGACATGATGATCTCCTAGCTTAGCTCCTAGGCGAAAGCTTCTGTTTGCCGCTCCCGCAGTCCGATAAGTACCCTCATACTGTCATGATATAGTAAAGAAAAGACATCACAATTTCATAAATGGCGGTTAGTTGTCCTTACAACACACAAGATAGGAACACGATGTCACTTCTGGCATCTGGCAATCTTGTACGGTCCAGCGTGGGCACGTGACTCGCGCTAATATCAGAGGCCGAGATTTAGACGGGGAACCTCGAATTTTTGCACGCAAACAACAAACCCAATTGAATCAGCCACCCCCAATGAGATCTCCAACCTGATTCTTAGGCTCAGCTTGTATCTCCACCACCCTCCGCCGCAATCCACTAATTATGAGATAAAACCTCTTCACACCCTCGTTCTCCATCTGTACCAGCTCGCGCGAGCAACGTCAACGTCATGGCAGCACCCACGGCAGCCCAGCTGGAGCTCATCAAGTCAGTTTCCGCGTATGGGAGCGCATTTTGGGTGCGCTGCTAACCTATTCGCAGCTCCCTCTCTCAAGAAGAGATCCCCATCAAGCTCCGATGCGCTATTTGCAGCAAGTTAGCCGTCAGCGCGTTCCGCCTGCCATGCTGCGACCAGGCTATTTGCGAGACTTGTGAGTAGTGAAGGCACCTTCCATTTTACTCTGTATATCTCTAACAGCCCATGCAACAGGCCAGTCAACCCTTCCATCTTCATGCCCGGTCTGCGAACATACGCCCGTTGCAGCCGCAGACTGCAAGCCTCATAAGTCCCTGCGCACCACAATCAAAGTATTCTTACGGACTGAAGAGAAGAAGCGCGAGGCTGCGCGCATGAAGGAGGAAAAGAACTCGCCTCCTCCTTCAACTCCGGCTCCTCTTGCGGAAACACCCGCACTTGGGGAGGAGGCTGTCATACAAACCAGCAAAGAGGCTGACGGTAGTGATGAAGTCAAAATGGAGTCCGCGCCTGCTTCAATGGACCCGGAATTTTCAAAGCCAGAGAAATCAGAAGATCCAACAGGGGATCAGCAGGATGTTCCTCAACCCTCGATCGAAGTCAGTGTAGTTAGTCTGTGGTACATAAATGATGCTATGCTAACAGCCGCCCAGGAGATTGCCCCAGAACAAGAACCTACCACCCATACCGAAGCTAACAAAGTAGAAGGCGCTACGAAAGGAAACGGAGAGGACACCAAGAGCCAACTCAATTTACAGGGAGTCTCTCAGGCACCTGGCTTTAGTACCGGCTTTGGCTTCGACCAGTCTGCTGCAGGAGGCTTCCCGGGAATGGGATTCGGAGCAGATTACAATCAAATGCAAATGATGATGGCCATGCAAAACGGCATGACACCTGGTGGATTTGGTAACTTTCCCATGATGGGTAAGTCTAGCCTGCACTTGTCATCAGAGACCTTGCTAACCATCGACTAGGCATGCCGGGTATGGGTATGGATCCGATGATGATGCAGAACATGATCATGAATGGTGGATATGGAGGAGGGATGAACGGCATGGGTATGGGCATGGGTTTCGAGGGGGTTGCTGGACAAGGGTTGAATAATTGGAACGGTCAACAAACTTGGAATGTCGCCAATAATTTCAATCATAATGCCGCCAGCATGGGCCACGGTGAATATGGCACTAACAACTCTGGATACCCTTCTCAAGCTGCAGGTTTTAACCAAGGTAATCATTACGGTGGCCCCAACCAGTACAACAACCACCAGAACGACTTTGGTTCCTTCCGAGGTCGAGGTAGGGGCCGTGGTGGTTACAACCGAGGGAGTGGTTACGGCCACGGCCAGAACGAACCTTTCTCACACCAAATACCACAGGGTTTCGGCGCGGGCCAGCAACAAAACGGGCCTGTTCCCGTTGTTTCTACAGGCTCGGCCCCGACTGGAAAAAATACGGAAATAGGAAACGTCGACAAATACGGCAGAGAAATACGCCCTAAATCCAACTCAGCTGAACCTACCGCCAAGCCTATCGAGGATGAGAACACTGTGAAGGAGACTGGTGCTACTGCCGAAGCTGTAATCGAACCTGATGTAGCCACAGATGCAGTTCTAACCGAGAAACCGATTCCGGAAACTGCTTTACCGATGCCCATCCAGACCTTGGACGATATTAATTCGTACCAATATGGTGGCCACACTGATGCATACAACATGAATGGTTATGGCGGATATCCCCAAGGCAACTCGTATGGAGGACCAGGTGCGGGTTTCATGCAACCTCATATTGTGAAGCCGGTTGATGTTCCCATCAATGCCCCTACAGGTCCCAAGGCCATGCGCCAAGGACTACCTAATACAGGTCTCTCTGGTTTGCGCACACAAGGATTCTCGATTGCCGGTCGAACGAGCTCGAAGCCGAGTGGCAGTGTTAGCGCGAGCATTGCTCCGGAGCCTTCTGAGAAAGGAGACGGAGACAGGGAGCGAACTAGATCTCTTTCCACAGGCAGAGACCGAGGCAGAGAGGGGGAGACATCACGGGATAGAGATGGTAGGAAAAAATCTCGAAGCAGAGACCGTGAGAGTAAGAGACATCGACATCGTTCCGTTGAGCCCAGTGAAGACGAGAAGGAGACTGAGAGACGTCGGGAGCGTAGGAGAGAGCGCAGACGTCGGAGAGAAGAAGATGATGTCGCTGCCGGGGGCCCAGTCGAAGACAAGCTCGATGATGGGAAGGGTGACGTTGTGAAAGAAGACAGATCTAGATCTGCCTCGCCGTCCGATTCCAAGCGAACAAGCCACCGAAGCCGACGTGATAGAGATAAGTACTATGACCGAGAGAGCGAGAGAGACCACAAGTCGTCGTCCACACATAAGCACCGCTCATCCCATAGAAGCCGCAACGAAGATAGGGACCGCTCGAGAGACAGGGATCGTTCGAGAGGCAGAGACCGTTCGAGAGGCAGAGACCGGGAGCGCGAGCACAGACATCGCCACGGCCGCCAGCATTCTGAAGATCGCGAATCTCGGTCTCAAGCTCAATCCAAAACCGAAGTTGATGCTCCATTAAATACCCTTCTCGGGCCAGACCCCGGCCGAGCCTCGACAGCCACGAAAGGTATCGAAATCAAAGGCGTCAGCTCCAAACGCAAGAATGTTTTCGAAGACGTCCAGAAGAATATTCCCACGGGACCTCGTCAAGACCGCCCGCCAACCGCCCCGTCCTCACGAGATCGGGATTACGACAAGTCCAAGGATAAATCCAGCAGCAGCCGTAACCAAGGTGAGGAATCACGCCATGATTCGTCTTCGCGGCGCGACTCCACCAAGCCTAAAGACTCAAGCTCATCTCAAGCATCGAAGTCAAAAGCTCTTCCTAATGCAACACCAAGCAAAGACCCGCACGAGCTTGAGCGTGAGGCACGTAACCGAGAGCGCCTGTTGAAGGAGGCGCAAAGAATCGCTGGATTAGCGGGCGGCTTTGCGAGAAAGAGGAGCAGAGATGAAGGGGATGAGAATATCGAGAACCGGGGGAGGAATGGGAAGAAGGGACGGAAGGGGAGACGGGGCACTGGTGGGGGCGAGGATGAAGAGGCGAGGATTTCGAGGTTGGAGGCTGAGAGGGAGAGCGCTAGGTGGGGTTGATCATCAGGCGTGGGAATACCGGTACGTGGGTGGCACGCGGTTTGTGATGCGTGACCTGGCGGGTTTGGGCATTGGGGACCGGCATAGGTCCAAATGATATAACGCTGGCTGCTGCAACTTCTTCGCTTCAATAGCTGGTTGCCGCTTGCTGCTGTACATTAGTTCTGTGGTCTGTACTTCTGTACCTGGACTCTTCAATAGAATATCTTCTAGAGCTGGTGTGCTGTGCCTGGCATGCGTTGATCAAGTGAGGAAGGGGCCATGAGCGGATCAGCATGGCCTTGGGGATCAGTTATTGTACTTGTCTTGATCGATGCTACTTGTATAAACTTTTCAGCTTATACCGTGCCTACTCCTTGTTTCGCTTTTGTCTTTATACCAAATGTATCGGTTGCATCTCGCATATTAAAGCGATTGGCTGTGAACGAAACGCCTCATTCAACAATATTTAAGTATTCTTCTGGGCTACCTACCGGTAGGTATTTCGGCACTCCCAGATGTCGTTCGGAAACATCTAAGTTACCCTGCTCTCTTGGGGCAAGCGCTCGCTCGATGTACTAAGTCTTCTGTTGCACATCGCATTTCTTTACCTCGGCATAGGAGATACACCTGTTGCCCCCCCGGATCTGCCTCGCTTTTCCCATAACAGCCAGCTCCTGACTTCGCCATTCTCCACGTTATTACGTTACATGCTGCTTTCTTCCGGGCTCGATCCTCCGTCGCGCTCGAGCGCTATCTCGTACCTACGTTGTACATAGTACTTAGCTACAACTACAAAATGGAAATGGCCCTGCTCCATTGAGACAGTCTTTGGTCCCACCCGTCAGTCAGCACGTCCCTCCAGAAAAAAAAAAAGCCATGACAGATAAGGTTTGTTGCACATCGCACGGGAAGCGGCCCGAGCCCCTTTCCGAACTTCTTTCGTCAGTCAATCAAGGAGGAGAGAGAGTTGTATCCGCCATACTTGCATTTCCCGCTTGATTTAATTCTTCTGTATTCTTGGTTCCTAATCTCAGTCATTATATATATATAATTGTCATCATCTCATAACAGATACCTCCCTCTACGAATTCCACGTCGTCAGACTATCCGGGATCAGCGCCAAGTTCTGAATAGCTGCCAGTCCGTACTGGGCCATATCATTTGTTGCTAACCAGGCCGCCTCATCCACAGTCTTCAAGGACGCACTCCCGTTGACCAGCACCGTCGACCACGGTGAAGTGGGAAGCAACCCGTCGCTGTGAAAGTCCTTCCACGCCCTCTTCGCCGTCGTCACGTTCCCCCTTACATGCGCCACGTACGCTTTAAGTCTCGAGTGCCCCTGAATCAGACTCGGCGTCCACGTTGCCCCGTACCGCGCCCTCTTCTCAGCATCCGCGGCGGTGTAATAGTAACAGTAGTCGATCCAGACATCTCTGAAGCCAGCCGGCAAGTCATCGCCGAAGAACTGCTCAGCCTCAGACAGCACTTCGGGGAGCCCGAACACTGACGAGAGATGTGAGACAGAGACGAGGCCGTCGTTGTTGGGGTCGAGGGGCGGCGGACTGAGCCTCCAGTTCGTGAGGTTGTACTGCCCAGAGCCTGTTACAAAGCCGTTCTTCAGGGCTGCGATGTCCGTAAACACATTGGTAATCTTTGCGCGGGCGTCTTCCCAGCCGACAGCACGACGTTCCCAAGCGATGAGCCAGCCTGCGGCTAGTGCTCCAAGGTCTGTGCCGAGACCAACGGCTACCGTCGCGCCGGGCGTGGGAACCCAGCCATCTGTTCGCACTTTTCGATTGGGGTCGAGATAGCCGTACGTCTTGTCCGTATCTGCAAGCTCGTCCAGAAGCTCGCCAACGCGCTCGTCACCGCCGGAGAGGTAATAGAAGTACTTGCGGTACTGGGGCTGCGCAATGCGGGCTTGTTTTGCGGAATCGCCGAAGTGTTGGACGCCATGGCGCGTACCGAGGCCCTTCCATCTTCCTAGATGGTAGACGTCTACTTCTCCTGTGTGGCGGGTCATGGCTTCTGCGAAGCGGTAGACGTCTGCTCGGCCGGTGCGGATGAAATAGAGCCAGAAGAACAGGTCGGGGGATAGCTCAGAGTTGTCCCAGGCGTATCCCCCAATGTCGTAGCGCCATTGGTGTCGATCAAGATCGTAGGCATGCATGAAATCGCCGTAATCCAAAAATCCGTACCAGCTTCTTTGGTCAACCTGGCCTTCGTAGAAATTGAACAGGAAATCGAGGTGTTGCTCGATGGCTGCCGACTCGGTACTGCTAGTATCTGGCAGTCCCCAGTAAAGCCCAAGACCCTTGGACTCAAAAAGATGCTCGGGTTTGGCGACCAAGAATGGAGGGTCACTGATGTATTCAACCAAGCTTGAAAGCGTGTCTCTCGCCGGAGTCTCCTCAAAACCAAAAAGATAAACCTCGCTGGTTCGCGAAATGCCGTACGGCGTGTCAAAACCTGGCTCGTGATCCTCATAAGTGATTTCGAGCGCATCAAGCTGGTCTACGTACCCTGTCTGGTTCAGGCCATCATGGTACGGACGGAGATCCAGTGGCTCGGACATTGGATCGTAGATCCAAAGTGTCATTTCGCCCACGTCGCTTGCGGCATTGGCGATCTCCAGACCAGTAGGATAGCGCTTCCAGAAATCTCGGAGTCCAAGTGCGAGACCGCCTGCCGTAGCACCACCGAGATAAGCGAGACCTCCTGAGCGTGTCCCAGCTGAAATCTTCAACCAGGTCTGTCCCTCCTTGGTGCGCTTCTTGAGGTTGAACCCGTCGGATGACAACTGAGAAAGACGGTAGTCTCCCCATTGCGGAATCCACCGTGTTCGGTTCGTAACACGAAGATCCCAAGTGCTGGGATCGGCCAAAGCCTGGCCTTCGAATTGAGCGTTTCTGACAGTTGCTCCAGGGTCTCGTCTCAACCCGGTTATTCCTTGAACGGCCTCGCTTAGAAGACCACCGTCAACCTAGGTGATTCCGACGTTAGCAAACATCCGTTTTTACGTCCCTCAACAGCGGCGTCAGGAGCAAATAGTGCCCACAAAATGAAAGGGAAGGAGAGGCTTTTGCCTAACTGTCCTTACCCCAGCGAGTCTGACATGGCGATCATACAAAGCGTCACTGAGTGGGACGTTGAATCGGATTCCAATGCCAGTTACAAAGTCTCCTTCTGCGTTTCCATCGAACACCAAGCTGTGGAGGAGGCGGACAGATTCAGAATTGGCGTAAAGGTAGAAGCGAAGTACGAATGGCAGCCAGTTGACGTGGGAGCCTCCGTCTGTGACTTTATGGGTGCCATTGACGGTGATGAGGGTCCGTACCGAGCTTTCCTCAGATACAGAGATAGCATCGATGCTGCTGACGAAGTTGAAGAACTCGTTTGACGAGTTTGAAGCCAAGGCTGCAGATTGACTTTGGAGAACAAGTCTCCCATCTTGCCCAATGATCTTTCCACTCGCAGTCTGGATCTTCTCAATGATGGTGTTGCCATCCTTAGGGAATACTACTGTTAGTTTGCCTGTATTCACCGTAATCTTGGTCGCCTCGTTGGTGACGACCATGTTGCTGTTTGAGACTGAGGGCTCCGAAGCTTCTGCCGTCACGGTGTAGGTCTCGGAAATGCTGTCTGATGCTGGGATGGCATGTCCAGTCCACTTGATGGATCCATCTTTCCAGTATCCGGTGATCCAAGACTGAAGGTCCGTTTCCGCCGTAAAAGATGTGTTCTCAGCGAAGTACTTTCCTTGAGGCCAGGGAAGCCCGAAAGTCGTTCCGAAGTTGTGGAGAGGCTTGCCTTCCAGCCAATGGACAGTGGCGGAGCTGTATGTGGTCGAATTTGAACTCGTGTTTCTAGGGATGCGGAACTGGCTACTTAGAACAGATTGAGCCAAGACAAAGAGGGCAAGGAAACCAGGGAGTCGTGCCATTCTGGCCAGACACGCAAAGATGTTGGAGAGAGAAAAGAACTTGAGTTTGAAAAACGAACGGCGGTGAACTGCTCTAAGTTTTAGAGCAAGAATGCAGATTATATACTATGGCTAGCTGACCACATGGCGAGCAGCTTGTGTTTGGATTTTAACCGAAAAATGTTGAGCACCGCAACGCACGTAAAGGGCGCAAAGCGCGTAAAGCTCGGCGTACCGTTGTGATCCATCTAGAGTCTGTATCCCCGGATGCGAAACCCATAGAGAACTTGGTAATTTCCGAGATGTGCGGGGGGGTTTATTGACATGAGGTTCGTATAGCCAACGACGGGCGTAACTTGCGTAATTCTTCCACAGGAAGAGCCGTGTGTTGGGGTTGGATCGGGCTTTCGGGGCAATGCTAGGGGCATCGATTGTATGCCTGGCCTTGGCGAAGTGAGGGGGCTATCAAGCTGGGATATATATGGGATGGGGTATGTCGATCGTCCTTTGCGTCACAAGGTGCCATCTCTGAGTGAAGTGGCGGCATCTTCTGCTAGTACTTCAGTAACTCCCTCGCAAGAGTCCGCCGCTGCAAGACATGAGAAATTTCAGCTTACCGAGCTCCCGCTTAGGGTTAAGAGCAATCGAAAACGATTCTAATGTCAGTTCCATTGGTGTCTCTTCTCCGCGGATTTCGATTCGACACCAAGGGAAAACGTTTCGCCAAGATCACGCCAATAAGCAAAGACTTCAAAAACATGACTAGCTATCGGCAAAAGACATGGGATATGAGTGCACCCTAGTTCGATAGAGAGGGAAAGTGGTAGAAGGGCGAGTCTCCCTCTGGGCCTGGTGCACAGGAATGAGCATGAACGCCAATTGCCTCATAGATCCCGATGGACTATTCAATTTTCCAAGTAAGAGAGAGAAAATTAAAACCAGCATCTCTTGCGAGCCTCAGTATTTGTATTTTTGTCCTTTGGACTACCTTTGGTCGACCTCTGGAACTAACGTCAGCGCGGAACCACGTCAATATCTTGTACAAACCATAGTACTTTGGTTTGCCCGTCAACCAAGCCGCTAGGACTCAGAATCTTCCTCACTACTCCAGCTCCTTTTCCAGCACAATCAGCCCACCCTTCTCCCCATTTGATATCTCCACTTCCCTACCCCTAATGCCCAGTCTCTCCTCAGTCTCCAACGTAATGTGGAAAAACCTCTGAAGGGCGTCAATTCTCTCCTGCTCCGAATGACAAACCGTTATCAGTGACGTCTTTCCCTTCCCATCATTCCGCTTCACCGTATCGTTCACCATCATAATCTTCTCTGTAACGACAAGCCCGTCTGCCTCGTCCAGTGAAGGTGCAGGCTCGTTCCCTTTCATCGGCACTGAGACAAAGCGAATACACAACACTGTTCTGGTCTGCAGATTCGTAGGCGCCAAGCTGTGACTAGTGTAGTGGTTCATGACCTCGAAGTCAGCAGCAGTGAACTCTAGATCTGTGAAGGCGTAGAAGGCATTCCATTCGTCCTCCAACGAGTTGCGGTATTCGTACATCCACATCTTCCTGTCCTGGTCCATGAAGTGTGGATAGGCGGATATCTCACCATATCTAAGGCGGACTTGTTGGGCACCGAGGTTCTGGACGACTTGACCAGAAGACATGTGCAATGGTTTTGTAGGCCCGTCTCCGCCAAACCCAACGTCACAGCACCACCTCACGCCGTGATCTATGGTGACGATGTTGACCATGTGGACCCTAGGTATCGACTGTTAGTTAGCCCACCACCCTTGGCCACTTGGGCACCTCTGGAAAAGAAGAGAATACGGCTCACCATCCAATGTAATTTCCCTCTGGCTTGCCTCGAAGCCGAGGACGAATTTTCACCCCCGCGGTATAGACGCTGAATCCCATCCCTCTCAGCACATGGTTGAAGAAAATACCATTCTCCTCAAAGAACACGAGGAGTCAGTCATTGCATGTTCAGGAAAGACTTTGGCGGGAGGATAGGGCATGCTCGCCCATTACCAATACCTACCATGCAATAGCCGCCGCGACCTCGTTTGTTGGTCACGATCTTCTTGAACAGGTCCTGGGGATCGAGCGACACATCATGGGAGGTGGAGTAATGCAGCTGAAGATTCTCGTAAGGCACACTGGAGATTTGGCAGACGTGTAAGGCGGCGAGGTACTCAATGTCAAGATGCATCACGGCCGTCCGATTAGCCCGGCGGAAGCGCGTAGGGAGAGAGACATGCTCTTCCCATGCGTCGAGCTGTTCTTGAGTATAGGCTGACGTGCTGCGCATATATGCTGGGCTCTTCAATACGGCCATTTTGGAAGATGTCCTACAGAGGGGATCGAGGATGGGAGGTGGATGATAGATGAGAGAAGTGGATGGTGGATGGATGGTGATACGAAGAAGAAAGTGATCAGTCGTGACTGATATAACACGAGCAACAAGAACGAAAGAGCGAGGCCCTTTGCACTTACTTCACGTTTCACTGCACTGCACTGCACTGCACTGCACTGCACTGCACTGCACTTGCCTTCATGAGGAGGAGATTCGGATTTGCTTACGGAAGGAAACGAGAATCCCGTCGTGCCTTCCACAAGAACGGTGACGGTAAAAGGTAAGAAAAAAAAGTGTCAGGTGCTCTAGCCTCTAGTGCTCTCACAGTCACGTGTGGCCATTGCCGGAGCATCAGCTCCGATGTCCGACTTTCGTCCGGACCAATGAAAGGGCTCATCTCGTCTTTCTTCGGCCTGGTATTTTGTTGCATGTCGCAATCTGGGCGGGCCGAGATCAGCCAATGGTTCGGATGGATTATTTGAGTTATACTTTGTACCGCGACTCAGTGACGATTTCCTTGTGAGCCCGCCGGAATTCGTTCGATCGCTTCTCTCGGCAGCCGCTCCACTCCGCTCGGCTCAGCTTGGACCTCCAAAGGGCCCCACCGTTTCCAACACGGCGGTCGTCGGCCTGCTTCCCTGAATCAGGCTTTCCGGATCCAATCAAGTACCGGTAATCAATCTCCCCACCTCAGATGACTAATTTTCGATCGGTTGGCAGGCGCGGGAATGTGCTGTGAATGGACTCCGAGAGCTTGGCTACCTACGCTTGCTGGCAACAAGAGATGCACTGACGACATGTATGTAGGTACCGGTACTACTACGTATATAGATACCGACCGGTATGTATGCGCTGTCTCTCCCACCGAAACTTTTCATCAGCATTCCAGATCCAACTCCCCGGATCTTCAGCCTTTTTAACGTAACGGCCAAACCCTCATCTGTTGCCCGTTGCCTCATTGCTCCCATTGCACATCTCTTCTCGCAAAATGATGGCCTCTACAAAATCAGTCAAGCTCACCTCCCCACCCTCTGCATCAGAAATCTACTCGGTAGCACGAGTCGCTTCCGAAAAACTCGTCCAAGAAGCCGCGCGCAAGAACCTATGTCTCCGCCGCCTCGTCGCCCACGCAAACCTCTACGACACCCTTCTCGACGAGTACAGCAATTACTCGTACCTAGACTCGGAATCGGACTCGGACTCGGACACCGGCGCAGACTCTGATGAGTTGCCTGTCCAGTCGTGCACCGCGCACATGGCGGACAGGGACAGTGTCGAGATTCACGTCGAATCGACGTATGTGTATCAGGACCAGCAGCTGGATATTGCGATCGGGCGCGGGGATGTGTTGATCGAGGAGATGGATGATTTGGGACTTTGTAAGGTCACGAGCCATTCCGAAAATGTCCGCTTTGCGACGCTACCGAGTCATGTCGAGGTTGAAATATTGGAGACGGAGATCTTTGATGATGATTGAAGGGGCGAACCGGGAGGCCGGAATTTTCACGGCGGCGTACACATCACACACCATATTCAACGAAAGGGCTGGGTAGCTCTGGGTCGGTCAGACGGGACCCGTCGGCGTGTCTTGAGAGCTCTCGGGTACGACGAGTGGAGAAGGGCAGTGCCTACAAGCTTTGGGTTTTGGTAGAAGAATCCTGCACTATAAGTGGAAGTTCAGGAGGGGGAGGATGTTGAAGAAGTATGGTCCTCGCCACAGGATATCAGATTGAAAAAGGCTCCCAGACATGTAGTGATGCCACTACATTTTCAATCATTCCACATCAAAATAACAACAATTGCCAGCTATGTTTCATTTCGTCCTGCAATGCCATGAAAATTTCCCGCTTTCCCAAGACTCTGACAAATTAGGCCATTCTCCAACATTCCTAAGCCGTCTCAGCACTTTCGGCCCGCCCGTACATCATTTGTTTGAGCCTCTTTGGTGCTTCAGCAACAGGCTTATTAAAAGTACCCCAACGCCAAGCACAACCAGACCGTAGGCCATACTCAGAAAAACAAGAGCCATTTTGAATGTCCCGTCCGATATTGGATCAGCTTTGCTTTTACCATCGAGGGGCTTCAGAGTAGCCGCCATCGTGGACCAAAAGTCAATGATGCCCAAAGTCACCAGGATGAGCAAGGCAATAAAACAGTAACAGCATGACCTAATGACGTCCAATGTCCCCCCGGACAGATCGCTGATCGGGTACCAGCTCACGCGCCGCGGCGCTATCGTCGCTACTATCACGAATATTAGTCAAAATTTAAATTCCTCGATCTTTTCGGTGAAACGGGATGCAGCACTTACAGGGAACCAGCAAATACCCCATCGCCATCCAGATGAGTACACAATCTAATAAATAGAGCCAGCTGCAGGAGATACCGTGCCCGATGTAGAGTAGTCGGGAAACATTGTAGCCTGCAGCGGCAAGGGCCCCTAGAACGAATGAGGAGGCTTCGAAGGTCACCAATTAGGTGCTGAAATCATTCGGGGCACTGGGGGGAGAGGCAGCTTCCGAACGGTGGATGTTGGGGCTTCGAGATACTTAGCGATGATAGTAAGATTGTCAAACGTTGCGCGTAAGTGTGTGGGCTTTGATACCCTGCGAAGATTCGTGCGCATGAGATTCTTGGATTCTGAATGCCGATGAGGATGGAAGATAAGAGAATGTGTCGTGTTCAATCGAAGAGGGATTATGCTCAACGAAAGAAGTTCGACCATCAGCGTGTACGCGGAGGCCCCTTCCTCAGTCTTTAGAGCCTCACCTCTCGGCTACAAAGAGGAAGCTGCATTCAGCGTGTTTTCCATATTTGTATTATGTCAAGAACCAAGCCTGGCTAAGATCATTCCAGTTCTTCTTCTCACATCCGGGTCTAGATCCAGTCGGCCCCTCGAGACGCTACACAGTTGAGAAGAAACTGGTTGACATTGAGGGAAAGTATTGCCTGCTTGATCAACATAGATCCCCAGACCGTATCTCATTCCTTCTGCGGAGAGAATCGAGGATACCGGCGTGGTCAGAATATATGCTGTGTTGTATCCAGGTAGATAGTCTTCAGTGGCGACAATATTTTCGAAGCTATTGCATAACCCGAACATTATCTCAAGCGTAACACTCTTCGAGCACAGAGTTCCTAAACTTTAGAAACATAGTACTCAAGAATAATAATGCAATTTGGCAACAGATTGAGAAGGAATCCCTAGAGGTAGTGAACATACAAGGGATGAAGAATAGAGTATATCAAGCGGCGGAAGAGACTAGCCAAAGAACTGGAGTGACTAGAATTGTATCTCAGCCCTCGATATGCCTGGTAGTTTCGAAAACTGTAGCAATGGGAGGATTTCACGTAGAATGATGGTGGCAGTCCGTGAAGGGTTCTCAACCCAGGGAGCCATGATGAGCTGAGAGGAGTGATAAGAATAAGCTTTAAGAGATGGAAGACGTCACGACTGATCAAAGAAAATTAAAGATACCGTATCCTCTGGTTTAAATGAGACCTTGGCAAGCCGTGCGCGGTGGAGACGGTGAACGGCGATAAGTGACCAATTAGCAGGAATTGATGACTTATAAATGCCACGTATTAAAATCTATAGCGTTTGAGCAGCCAAAATAGATAGAATTGCATTGCTATTACATCTTGATATGCTAACATATGCGATGAATACGAGCAATTTCGGGAAAAAGGTCCAAAAGATCTAACAAAAGAGCGCAACCTTCGAGGCTTTTCGACTAAGAATAACGCCGAATTAATTGATATGCTAAGATCATTTGATAAAGCTCGTAGAGAGAGCGAAAACGATACTAAGGTGGAGGAAAAGAGGCTGGCAGAAAAGCAAAAATTGCTTATTAAAAAGCACGAAGCAGTTGCGAAAGAGATCGTATACGTAGATGAAGGTGGAATTGAATATAAAGGTTGGTTGAAAGTGATAGAAAGTATAGATTTAACTGCAATTGATACCTAAACATAATTATTAAATCAAAATCAAAATAGAATAGAATCAAAAAGGAACGAAAAGTGTCAAATTCGCTTAATTTTTGACCTTTACAAACTTCTCGACGTTGGATTCTGCTCGCTAAGTCATCTTTCTTCTCGCTTCTCTACCTGGCTGACCCTACCGCGCACGGCTTGCCAAGGTCTCATTTAAACCAGAGGATACGGGTAAGTTTCAGATCGTATTCGTGGTCTTGAAGGGTCAAATGATTTATGATGCCTCGAATGTAGTGGATCACGTTACTGCATACCTCATTCCACTTAATCCACCCGCCGCTTTATAGAGTGGAATTTTTTCTTATGCACGCTATACAACTACCTACCTTACAGTAAAGGCAGGTAAGGGGTCATTTCAGCGATCCTCTGACCTTCTTTTACAGAAGATAGTCATTGGACCGTTTAAAGTCAGTACTAGTTCCAAATCAGGAATAGCTAGCTCACTTAACTTTGACCGTCCCCGAGCTTTGGGCCGTCCTATGGCCGTCCTATAGCCGTCACCGTCTAAATTTTAAATCACGTTTATCAAGGAATTCGTTTTAAATATTTAAAGTGTTCGAATGCTCGCTCTTAATGAAATACCATTAAAATATTAAACCCCTTCTTCTAATAGTATCGTTTAAATTGTTACGTTAGTAATGGCGCTAGGTCACGCGGAGGTCACGTAGCCACACGCGTAAGGGCTACACGTTACCTCGTGACCTTGGGGCTCCCGTCTTGGCAAGACAGCCTACAAGACCTCTTCTTCTGCACTCATTCTCTTCCTTTCCCTTTTCATCTTTCTTTCTCATTACAGAGCGTACTCTTAGGTAGCAACTCAAGACAATACTGCCTTCGACAGCCGTAACATAAATAATAATTTAACAAATTGGTGTCAAAATATTTCCTGATATCGCTATTACAGCTTACATATTAACGCTCTAAAAGATTTAAAATCGGAACCGATTGATTCAGTAAGATGACCTTGTCCCTGCCCTTCATCTCGCCTACCAACGAAGGTGGTAGCTCAAAAGCAAAATAATTGCTTGGTAATTCAAGTTCTCGAGGATCGATGACGGCCTTGGAACGGCTATAAGACGGTCCTAAAACGGTCCCAAATCGGTCCCAAATCGATCGGGGACGGCCTTTAAACATAAAAAAGGGATTTTATAAAAGACGGTTTAAGTAATTAACATGGTTCCATTTTAGCTACGATTTAAATGAGTTAAATCGTCTGCTTTTAGATTTTATTTAATCTCAATTATCGGCCTAGAGTGATCCACTAACTATGCCAACAGCCTCTTAAGACCGTCTTTTAAAAAGACCGTCATCGGATTGTCAGCTGACGGTTCAAAGAGCCCCTACCTGCCTTTAAGGTAGCATATACAATCCAGCAATTGCGCTTCTTTACTCAAATATTTCACCAATCCGCGATGGCAGACCTTTCTGCTTCTAACGAAGCTCTTGCCGTTATATTGACTTCGAAGACGACGTATTTAATGATCTAGGATTCGCGTTGCGCAGCGAGAGATTTTGACTTAAGATGGCTTTTTTTAAGAGCTTATATACGTGGTTGATAGAAGCCAATTCCGCGTTCAACCAAGAGCAGTGGATAGCGAAGTAATTATCAGCCATCACATGCGGACACTTGAAATGAACGACATCACATCAGACTAGACCGATATCACTTGCATTGCGCCTTTCGAACGACTCAAGATCAGAGCTGGAAAGAATCAAAAGAAGCGGAAAGAGATTATGGATATGCTAAAAAGACCAGCGACACCTTGCTCCGTACACTTATAGTGCTTGTAGTAGAAATGGCCATAATGGCCTAAACAAAAAGAAGTGTCCTGCGTATCGTGAAGCATAAGAATAAGCAATTAATTCTGCGTTTTATCCGCTATTTTCTGACATCTAAAATTTTTTCGCGATCTTGCAGCATATAGACTTTGCGAATAGCATCTTTTCCGACTACGGTTTTTACAGCAAAAATTATATATGAGAATTGTGCGGCTGGCATGAGAAAAATGTTCACTGCATAAAACGGCCGGTGGATTAAATGGGATGAGGCTTGCAATAACGTGATCCATTATGTTCGAAGACTCATAAATCATTAACCGTCTTAAAGTTTGTTCGCCAAGGCGAAAATCTTGGAGACGCACGGTGCCTTTTCAGAAGAGTCATTCAATCAATCTATTTTGGGTCGATTTACGCCTTGGTGGCCAGACCTCAAGGCCCTAAGAGTAGATTTCGTTCAATTCTTCGGGCTCGAGCACTTCTATGCAGTTGCGTTGCAGATTTTTCGGCTTGTTTCCTCGACAAGATTCTTAGCCTTGCACGAAATTGAGTCAAAGCTACAGTAAGTAAGTATTTTATGCAGGTGACCGCTAGTACGGCTTATCTGCCATGTCAGGTAATGGTGCAGCCGAACGCCTGGAGAAGAGATCGGCTAGAAACATGGAATAATTCTTTCTCTTCGCTCCTCGGTTACGATCTCCGTATACTCCCCCCTACCAATGAAAAGTTGCCGAAAGTACAATTTTGCAAGGGCTCTTCTTACCAGGGCTCGAACCAATCAACTTATAGGGATTCGGCCTTGAAAGTTATCTCTAGGCAAGTATTTGGTCTGTGCAATGGAGTTGACAAAGCTTTGAGGCCTTCAGAAACCACCGCTCTCCGTACGTACTACTATCGGTACTACTAGTACGTCCGTATATCCCGTATCACCACCTTTGGTAACATGGGGATGCCTGCGGGCTCGCCAGGGTGATATGTATTGTAAACTATTCCGAAATAGGTTCTGCTTGCTATGGTCACCTCCTCCGTCCATGTTGCCACGTGCGCCACTGATCGATATCTCTGATACCATATGCATGAGGAGTCGAAAGAGTACTCCGTAACACGTACTTGGCAGCCGCCAAAGATTCTGCATCCTGATAACCTAGACCTCTGCAGATGCATATGTACTCTGTAAATACTTCGTATTAAGTACCCACCCCCACCTTAACTGACTGACCTCGAAGAAGTCACAAGGGGCCTCGGCATGCTTCACAAAAGTATTGTCCAAATAAACTTTCTCGACTTATGTGCATTCGGTTAGAACCGGGCCATCTGACAGATGTAGTTACTACCATCTACTTGCCAAAGAGCGCCTTCCTAGGGTCGTAGGTGTATTTCAGGTCCAGATGCCAATAGTTCGGCGTATCTGGTTGACTGGTCTTCCATGCCTTGTCCAATGCGTCAAGTAACTCTTGCGGTAATGGGCCCTTCTCACAGTCTTCCAAATTCTCGGCCAGTTGATCCAGACTACTGACTCCAATGATAATCCCATCATTGCCGTCCTTGATATTCAGAGCCGAGTGATTGACAAGCCATCGAAGCGCTGTCTCCACCATAGTTAATCCATGCTTCTGAACAACTGGCTCAATAATAGTGAGAGCGTCAAAGGTCGAGTCCTTGAAGTATCGCTTCCGGTACAATTCGCCCATGCGCCCCACAGCATCACTGTAGCGGCCCTCTTTCGGCACATCCTTGCTCTTGTACTTGCCAGAAAACAAACCACCTGCAATAGGATTATAGACGACAACATCGAGGCCATAGCGCTTGCAAGCCGGAATTACTGCAGGATACAGGGCGTCAGCGAATATGTAGCCTGAATAATGTCGGAACCAGTATCTTGGGACGATCAGAAATAATAATTGGTGAGCTGCCCCATCACCTACGCTCGTGCTCAAGTGAGCGAGTGATAGCATTGTACATCCCTTGGTAGATAGTGGGCCGTATCCAATTATTGTATCTGCACTACAACATAGTTAGCGATGTTTTCTACCAAAATAGTCGAGTTTGCGAGACTTGTCCAAAACTCCCAGAAAATTGGAGCACGGTGTTGAAAAAGAAACGTGAAGACGCACAGTAAGGACCACCTCTGCCACTTCAAATGCTGTGAAGTTCGAAAGGCCCAGTCTGACAAACTTCCCCCTTGGCTAGGTATCAGCGTCTACGATGTACGAATCAGTATTTGACCATGGTACATACTCTTTGTGCAGTTTATTCACGGCTTCGAGCGTTTCCGCAAATGGTACCGAGCGATCCTAATTGGATGTCAGGTCTGCATCATGAGGGGTGCCATATTCAGAAGACCCACGGCCGCATGGAGATAGAAAATGTCCACACAGTCTGTGCCGAGTTCCTTGAGAGAGGTGTTGAAATTCTCCATAAGAACGTCGGGAGCATGCTTTCCCGGCTTGTCAGGATAAACTTTCGTGGCTACGGTGAAGCCCCTCTCTTTCCAACCCGCGGCGGCCGTGAAAGCCTCTTGCTTACCACCAACATAAGAGCGAGCTGTGTCGATCTCGGTGTATCCGGCGGCCTGGAAGCGGTCCAGAAAAGTCTTATACTCATCAAGTGAGGTGATGCGTGCACCTGTGTCCGGATCAGGGCCAAAGGTCTATCGCTGAATTAGTTATGTCGACAGAGTACGTGCAGTATGTTCGGTGCGCGGATCCATCCCAATCCGAGTAGATTTAATTATGTCATTCAAAAAACAGATCAATCCATATTTTCCCCCAAGCTCCTCAGACACCGATCTGGAGGCCCGAAGCTCCTATGAAAAGAAGAAACGAGGGGAGCAAAGCCCACATACCATAAGGCCGAGGATAACCCGTGGCTTAGGGTTGGTAGCTATCAATGGCATCTTTCGAAATCGAGATGTGTTGTTTTCGTAGAGAGTGCTCTGGTTTGGTTTGGTACGGTATTGGTATTGTGTTGAAGGGAGAGTTGTGTGAGGGGTTGATTTTGATAGTGGGGTTTTGTTAGTGACGACACAATTAAAGCCGCAAAGTCCGAATAAACCAGATTTGTTGGCTGGAACGAAAAATGACGACACAATTAAAGCCGCAAAGTCCGAATAATCCAGATTTGTTGGCTGGAACGAAAAATGACGACACAATTAAAGCCGCAAAGTCCGAATAAACCAGGTTTGTTGGCTGGAACGAAAAAGAATAGCTTTCTCGCTAAGGTACCAATCATAGCCCGGTAAAAGTAAGCACTTTTCTGTTTACTTTGACTTTTGTACAGGCACCTGGGTCTGTCGAGCTTTCAACAATTAGACAAGCTTGCGAGAGGACTCGGATATCGGCTAGCTCAGAGAATCGATTTCGTGAGTAGACAGCTAGCTCTAGCCCAAATAGAACGTCAACATACAGTCAAGGCTCGTCACGCATAAAAACGAGAAAAAAGATCGCTCACATCTCTTCCACTTGATAAAGTTAGGTGCGAAGATCATGTATTTCATGCATGTTAATATTGAAATACTACGTCCCAGGCGTAAGTATTACCCCTTGAGGGTAGGGTGGCCAGGGGGTTTAAAGTGGAAACTTAACTTTTGAGGCACCGTCGAGGGGTAATACTTAGGCCTGTACCGTGGTACCAAGAAGTCGTCGCCAGTCTCCAACCGCGTTTCAGACCCACCAGTGCCGGTACTTACACAGGTACACAGTCCCAACCCCATTCTTTGATATGGGAGAGGAGAAAATCCCTGGCCTAGACCTCGAAGCTTGAGCTGTGAACAGCATCCGAAAATGACCATCACCTGTTTTGGGCCAGCCTTTTCCGCTTCGATGTGACCACATTCTGATTGAAATTCCGAAGCGCTTCACTTACGCGTACTTTTCGCCCCACGACTTCCTCTGTAAAGTAGGCTTCTCAGGCTGGCTGTAGTACTTCTCTGCGTCCAAAAGAATAACATCTGATAGCTAAACGCAGCCCGCTATGCGCGCTGTGCGCGCTATGCGGAAGAAGAAATACGAGTCGTTACTGTAGATTTTTTTCGTATGCCACCCGCTCAACTTTGGGGGCAAAGCATGGAGAGCAAGGATAGGAAGCCAAGGTGTCAGGGACCCCAAAACCTTGCATGCACCGACGGGTCTTTGGGATAAATAAAGAACCCCGGAAGGCTAAAGTTTAAAGTTGGTTCCGAGCGCCCTGGGAAGAATTGGGGAAGGAGCGTGCCCATTTACTCGACATTGGCAAAGCTCAGCTAGACGCCCAAGCTCTGGAATTGAGATTGGAGGAACTCATGAACTAGGACAGGGCCATGTACCTCGGTGAACAACTACCTTTCCAATAAAGGACTTCGAGAGTCAAATTGAACATTGCTTGGCCACCCATTCTGTGCCTTCGTATCTGCACCAATGAAAATAGGATACTTTATTCTCTCTAAAGAGTCTCCGATCGAAAGATGGCTCTGACCGGTAGGCCCGCTCTTGTAGTGGCGAGTGGAAACAAAGCCGCAACTTGCGGTATGAGAACAGACCTGGTGTTGACTTGGGCTATCTGAATTCTGTCGGGAGCTTGGCAAGCTGAAGCAGAAGCTCTGATATAATGGTTGATCTAATACCCATTAGGAGCTACTTCCGACAACGAGCGAGAGCAGCATGTTTAAACCGCCTCGGCTAGTCTTTCGAAAAGCGTAGTATTCCACAAAAGAGCTTCAGATCGGACTTCGTTTATATCCTTGTTAGCTCAAGGGCATAGAGTATATTGAGGTAAGGGATTTGAACCCGTTATCGTGTTCGACAGAAGCCGCGACAAAGTAAAGGTGGGAAATGTATAAAGTGGAAGAGATGGCCCTCTTGTTTAAAACTTCAGATTCACCTCATCTCATCTCTACAATACACCCTCATTAGCATACGTCTTCATCCATCTTCACCATGAAGAGCACGTACGCTATTGCTCTCACGGCCACTGCGTCCCTGGCATCAGCTATCCCTCTAACTTCCAACACGAAGGCATCCCTGAACACTCGCCAGTCATGCGAGAATACAGCGACTTCGAGATCGTGTTGGGGAGACTACTCAATCGATACCGATTGGTACGAAGTGACACCTCAGACTGGCGTAACTCGAGAGGTATGAGTACTGCGTAGTTACGAACAGCTCTTTCTCGGAAAGTAACTAACAAAATTTCAGTACTGGCTTGAAGTAGTCAATACGACACTGGCTGCTGATGGGTATACTCGCCAGGTCCTGTCTTTCAACGGCACTGTCCCAGGCCCAACCATCATTGTAAGTAGTCGGTTTCTCGGAGTGGTGTTTCTCTCTCCACCATGTGTTGGGGCTTACGCCAAACATCGTCGTTACTCCCCAAGTCGTTCAAAGAAGTATACTTACTCCAATAACAGGCTGATTGGGGAGACAACTTGGTCATCCATGTTACCAACAAAATGCAGCACAACGGTACTGCCATCCATTGGCATGGGCTCAGACAGCTGGGAAGTCTCGAATATGACGGTGTCCCGGGTGTCACTCAATGTCCAATCGCACCTGGAGACACCTTGACCTACAAATTCCAAGCTACTCAATACGGCTCGACCTGGTATCATTCCCATTTTATCACTCAATATGCAGACGGACTTCTCGGGCCAATGATCATCAACGGTCCGGCTACAGCAGACTACGACGAGGATCTCGGATTGCTCTTTCTGTCTGACTGGTCGCATATTCCAACATATCAACTTTGGGATCAGGCCAGATTTGGTGCACCGCCAATTCTCGAGACTGGATTGCTTAATGGAACAAACACCTGGGACTGCTCTAAATCGTCTGACCCCAATTGCGTCGGTGGCGGCAAGAAGTTCGAGGCAACATTTGAAGCAGGAAAGAAATACAGAATCAGGCTCATTAACTCTGCTATCGATGGGCACTTCCAGTTCTCGATCGACGGGCATTCCATGACTGTCATTGCCATGGACCTGGTCCCATTGGTACCATACTCCGCAGACTCGGTGATCATTGATATGGGTCAGCGTTACGATGTTATCGTTGAAGCTAGCGCTGCTCCAGGGAACTACTGGATGCGAGCTGGGTGGATTTCGGCTTGTTCTACCAACGCAAACCCCGATGGAATGACCGGCATCGTTCGTTACAACTCGACCAGCACTGCTGATCCAACCACCACTTCCACTGTCGAGGTGAGCTCCAACTGCGGAGATGAGCCCATGGCTAGCTTGGTTCCACACCTGGCGATGAATGTGGATACCCTCCCCCATTCTGCTTTTGTCACCGAGGAACTCGGATTCCTAATCGGTAGCCACTTTACCTGGACCATCAACTCAACTTCTCTTGTGATTGACTGGGGAAACCCAACCACGCTTCGAATCTTCGACGGCGAGTCAATTTTCCCTACCGACTACAACGTCGAACCCATTGAGATCACTACTGCAGACCCCGTCTGGGCTGTCTATGTCATCCAGGATCTCACTGGAATCGGAATAAGTCATCCTATCCATTTACACGGCCACGACTTTTGGGTTATTGCCCAAGGCACTGGCGTCTTTGATGCGGCCACCACACCCGTGAATCTCATCAACCCCCCTCGCCGAGATGTTGCTTCGCTCCCTGGCAACGGATACTTGGCTATTGCTTTTAAGAAGGACAACCCAGGATCATGGTTGCTTCACTGTCATGTAAGTCACCATCCCGATGTCTCATGATATCCAGGGCTAACAATTTTCAGATCGCTTGGCACGCTTCCCAGGGTCTCGCGATGCAATTCGTCGAGTCTCAGAGCCAGATTTCCGTCGCTATGAGCGATACTGCGGTCTTCCATGACACCTGCTCGGCCTGGACTGCCTACGCTGACGAGGCACTCTACCACCAAGACGATTCTGGAATCTGAGAAGTTTGGACTGAAATGTGGGAGTGGGATCCTAAGACGGATGACTGTTGACGATTTTTTCATGTTCACGATTGACGATGATCAATAGCTTTAATTCCATAATGTATAATTCACAGGATGCAAAGACAGTTCGCAGATCGCTTTTGTACTCCTCAGTCAACAGACAAAGGTAACACGCGCTTTAAACAGCAAGCAAGCAAATAGACCGCAATATGCGGAGTCACACTCCGAAACGTGACAGCGACCCAGGATTCGTAACAGCGAAGAAGTCCAACGTCCAATGTCAAGTCAAGAAAAAAGCAGTTCGGGGAGTAATCGGGAAACTCGGAGCAGCCGCCTCTACAACCCGAACCTAGGGCCTCTTGTTTCGACATCATAACAGAAAGGGCAGCGCTGCAAGGTGTAATGAATGACTGGAGAGCGCTACGTACTTTCCGAGCTTGGTCGGATGAGAATACCCCGTGACATGATCTGCGAAAGACTGAACATGAGATTCATGTGACCTTGAAAAGAGGAGCGGGGCATTGGCCTCGATTAATTCCCGATATCGATACGGTAGCTCGAGCACCTCACTATTACTCCGTACTACACTCCGTATTACTATCCCAGCCCATGAATACATGTCGAAAGTATAATTTTGCAAAGGATCTTACCGAGGCTTAAACAAATCAACTTACGTAGTATAAGAATCCAGCCTTGAAAAGCATCTTTAGGTCAGTATTTAATCTGTGCAATTGAGTTTACAGGGTTTTGAGCCACTCAGAGACTACCGCTCTACGATTTATGGGCCTAAACTGGGTCCGACATGTATTCATGGAGGGGGATGGTACTTATTACCTAGCAGCGGCCAGCGAAGACGGATTTCTGAGCTTGTACGCGGCGCTAGCTACGAATTTACGATATTTTTAACAATATTCGGAAAGCCGATCAGAAAACGTACCTTTCAAGGTAATCGAAGCGATGCACTTTAATGCTAGCCGCTTCTTTGGTATCTGCCGACGGAACGAAAGACGATTAAAAACACGAAACAAGTATCATAATATACTCTTTAATGCAAAACTCGAACCCGATACTATCGATTAGCTCGATGACTGTATTCGACGATTAAATTCGACTTCTTTCGACACTTACCATCCTCCCCTATAAATACATGTCGGGACCCAGTTTAGACTCATAAGTTATAAAGTGGTGGTTTTTACGTAGTACGTAGTAAATGGCTTAAAGCCTTGTCAACTTTATTAAACAGAATAAATACTGACCCAAAGGTACTTTTCAAGGCTGAATTTTTATAAGTTGGTTGATTTAAGCCTTGGTAAGATCCCGTGCGAAATTATACTTTCGATATGTACTACTATTTATAGGAGGGGATAGTGAAAAGCGGGATTTACGTAGTACGATCGGTTATATAAAAACGCTAAAAGAATGAAGTGGACACGGTAACGGCTTAGCTCTTCGGAACTCTCGAGATTGCTATACGATAAAAGAACCTTTAGCAGACGCTTATACTTACAATCGATTACGAATACAAAAAGTACGGAAAGAAGAAAAAGAAAAAGGATCGCGATCGATAACTCGATTAAATAATCGGAAAGACGGTATATCGAGCCGCTAATAACTAATCGCAATAAAAAGCGACCGCAGCGATTGAAACATTATTAACTAAGAATTGCCGTTAACAAAAAGCACTAGAATACGTCAGAGCTGCGATACCGCGGGATTAAAGACCCGGGATTCTATATCGAACTATATTTTTTGTCTTTCGTGGTTTGAATCTTATTGATATAAATAGAAATTGTACTTAAAAAACTATTTGATTAAGTCGAACCGCTTTTCTTTGCGGAGTGTTTAGGTCGGGATCTAATGCCGGCACGTCGGAATACCTTTCGAAAAGTGTTAAGTCGGACTCTTAGGAACCATAATAGACGTTAAAACAATACTATTACTCCTACTACCTAGCAGCTGGTGCTATACCGCACAGGCTCTATTCTGGCGCGTGAGCTGAATGGTAAAATACGGAGTAATGTCAAACAACAGGGACCCGCCACCCTCCTCGACGGATTCCAACGTCATCGGCAGCTGTCTCTTGGGCCTTATCTACAGTATGATCAGATATGATCAGACTTGATCAGACTTGATCAGACTACCTACCTACCTACCTACCTACCTACCTACTCTGTCGACATGCTGTGCTTCATCCCGTAAAAGGCCATACATAGGTATATAAATATATATACATGTACTCTATCGTTTCTATTATTTACCTCTATCTGTGCATACAAGATGATCAGAGGCACCAAGGGCGGGACGACGAAGCCTCGGTGGCTGAGGCTGAGGTTGTCGGGTCGGGTAGAAAGGTAAGCAACGAGCTTGAGATCCGAATCAGGTGGGCAGGGAGGGAACTACGGTACTTGCTTGATTTTGGCTTCTCCTGGCTACTCTTCCCTCCTCCATTGCTTTTCTGCCTCAGTACGAGGCCACCACGATTCCATCCAGAAATTTCGTGAAGCGCAGCTGAGCAGATTGAACATTGAATATCTACCTACCTAACCTAGGTACCCGCCAAGCTATTCCTCGTCGAGTGGGCAATTCCCGTCAGGGAATCAATCTTTTGAGCGGCCCAATTTTTAACGCCATCTTTACCATTCGTTCCTCATTAAACAAACCAATTCCCACAACAACAATAACCCATCGGCCACATATTTCGAGCATCAATTGAGCGCGCAACATGTCGTACACACAATACGATCAGTATGCCGGCAATCCGTACAGCGATGGTCCTAGTGCGGAGAATGGGCAAGGCGGAGTAAGCTCTTTCACCAGCCCGCCCTGGAGAGGTGCTCCAAGTTTGCGCGCCTCGTATGCAGAGATCAAGACTGACAATACTTCTTTTGTCGCATAGGGTCAACCAGGGGCTTTGCGCCCTCAGAATGAGAGGTCCAATTATTCAGCTGCCTCCCAATACTCGAATGCCGGTGCTCCCGCGACCACCACCTCATCCACCATCCTCTCGCAGCAAGACTTCCTCGCACGCGTCGACTATGCCAAACAAGAAATCAGAAGCCTGGGCACGAACATCCAAGAAATTGCGTCTCTACACCAGCGAGCCTTGTCATCCCCAGACAGCAACTCCTCCGCTCAGCTGGAGAGCCTGGTGACGGAGACGCAGCTGAAGAACACCAAAATCAGAGACCTGATCAAGTATTTGGAGCTGGACGCTATCAAGACGCAAGACGGATCGAAGAGCGTGAAAGCGAGGCAGGCGAAGCAATTGAAGGGCGAATTCGAGAAGTCCTTGAATGACTACCAACAAGAAGAAGTCGCGTACAGACAACGATACCGTGACCAAATCGCAAGACAATACCGTATAGTCAACCCAGAGGCATCCGAGGCCGAGGTCATGGAGGCGTCTGAGCTGGACTGGGGCTCGGAGGGTGTTTTCCAGACTGCAGTAAGTAGAGTCAAATTAACGAGTCACAATTAACAAACTGACAAAATCACAGCTCAAAAGCAACCGATCGGGACAAGCTTCCTCAGTTCTTGGTGCCGTTCGCGCCCGTCACAACGAGCTCCAGCGTATCGAGGCTACCCTTACAGACCTCGCCGCTATGTTCGCTGACATGGCTCAAATCGTTGAGGCTCAGGATCCCGTAATTGAACACACAGAGCAAAACGCCATTCAAACCGCCCAGGATGTGGACAAGGGAAATACTCAGATCGACAAGGCGAACGAGCACGCTAGACGCCGAAACAGACTAAAGTGGTGGTGCTTGTTGGTGGTTGTTCTTATCGTTTTGGCTATTGCCCTTGGTGTTGGACTGGGTGTTGGACTGTCTACGAAGAAGTAGTAGGGTGTATGCAGTGTACAAGTGGTTTTTCTTGGCCAGCGTTTTCGTGCTTAATATACTCTAGTAATAGTTGCAACCGTACGTGTTGCCCTTAATGCATTGGATCTCACGAACGTCGGATCGGGGACCGTTGGCAGCGGGGTCGAGGTCATCTTCAGTCATGAATATGCAAAATGGCGCTAGAAATTCAACCACCTGGATTGTTGCCTCAAAAAGACCCCAATACTCCAGAACGCCTGGGATATGATAAGTGACATAGATGTACATTTTCCCCTACTCATTCCATCCCAAAGGATTTGCCGTCAAGGACTCCATCGCTTCTCCCCCTCCGACGCCTTCCCCATACAGAGACCATCCATTCTGTCAAAGTGAAGCCCCAATGCCCTGCTACTAGTACCCCACTGACAACATTGACCACCTTGACCAGAAATCTCAGGAAGCTGTCCCTGCTCTCTTGTACTGTGAGCAACATCGGCTCAAAATCGTACTTGAAGAAGATTCCGGGTACGGAAAACTCGCTAACGACATGGGACTGTTCGGTGACAGCGTATTGGTTAGTAAACAGAGTTTGTGAGGAGTATGTTGTGCTGGAGTCCACCGAATAGACTGTAGGGACCACGGAAAGGAAGTATTGGAACTTGTGGAAGTTGTTTGGGGTCGTGGAGACTGTGCGATCGAGAGGGTTGTGGAGGGAGGGGTAGAAGGGGCCGAAAGAAAGCTCGGAGACGACGTGGGAGAAGTTGAATGCTTTATTAAACTGTTAGCCAGTACACCATGTCCAATAAAAGGAAAACATACCATGATGGTCCAGATGACCAGCGGCAAGCTCTTGGTACCCATGACCTCGAGCTGTAATGTGAAGTTCCCCCTGCACTTTGTTGACTTCCAGGTTGCCAAAAATCCGACAGCTGTCCATCTCAGCGGATTTCCGTGACCTCGGGGTCTTCGCAAACTTTGCCTTCTTTAGTTTACCAGCAGCAGCAACGATGTCGTGTACATGCTCCTCCCCAAAGCCCTCATCATGATCAAGATACTCCTCGCCCGTAATAATCTTGCCATTTGCGTCCGTCCCCAGCCTGTGCACACCCCTTTCATGCACCCACTGCGCCCACTGCGTCGGATTACGCGTGAACATCACTCCTGCCAGGATTCGGTCGCCGGCCGCATCTTGCACATTGATGTGGATGTCCTCGCACTTCATCGGCACGACTATGTCCAGGTTGATCTGCAGACCTCGCTCCACGGCCTTTTCCACAGTAAATGTATGCGTTTCGTGGCCCCGCCACCAGCGTGAGAACTCGGAGTAGATGAGCATGAAGGAGACGATCAGCATTGCGACGGTCCATTTCCCGCCGCCTGAGGTGCGGGTCACATATTGAGGTTTGGCTTTGGCTGGAGAGAGAGAGAGAGAGGTCAGTAAAGGATTCCGCAGTAAATGTTTGCGCCGATGGACCAATTGAGGTCGAAGGCCCCGGAAGGAGTGCTATGGAGCAAGGGCGCCTTACGAAAGGCGTCGAAAGCCTGGACAATATTGCCTGTCTTCTCCCCAAAGGCATCCTCGTCCAAGCCATGATCTGAAAATCCATTCATCTCCGATGCTTTCCTGATTGAAGCTTCAAGTTTCTGCTATTGCGCCGGCATGGAACCAAGAGCCCCCAAATGAATGTAAAAGAAATCTAAGGATTGGACGATAGTGGATGGGGCATATTGAGGTGTCGTTTCGTCGCGTGTCCGCACAGATGAGGCCACGCTACAAATTCGCGGCCTCGGCTATGGGTCATGCAACAACAACTCCTATCAAGCTAAGTTTTCACTATAACGACTTTATATCTTCTTGCACCATTCGTTCTGGCTTTCGCTCTTATTAATTTAACCCGTCATTGTTCTAGACTTGGGTACTCCTTTCTTCTCTCGTCATCATGAATGTTTTATCTCGAGTTTTAGGACATTCCTGCTAATCAATGTTCATACTGACTGATCAGGATTTGAACAGATATGATAAGCTTAAGAATCCCAGAGTCGGCCTGAAGAACTTCATTATTTCTTACTTCCCCCGTAGTTGCAATCCCAATTTTTTTTGGGGCGCTTATTGATAATGCAGTTACTTTGATCGGGGGAGTCTCCTCCGTTTTCGATGCTGCTGCCTTTCCCATCAGTGGCCCTTTCTTCATCAACTCGACAAAAAGAGGGTTTGAAGGCATTCCAAATCCGATCTGAAGTATGTGCATCCATTCTACCGGTATTCCTACGCAGCGCGCCACCTTCAGTGCACAGACAGATCCTCGGATTTCAATCCTCCGACCTTTGACTTCAGGTATTTTGCTTTATCACAGCACGCAGCGACTTACCAACCAACTGCGGCACCTGAATCGCTCGCTGGCTCAACGCACCAGAATATATATTCTCAGATGATGTCTGCAAGAATTTCAAAAAGTTACTCAATTTAAGGAAAGTGCCAAGGAGGTTATAATCGCCTGGGTACTGATGCTAAACAGCAACCGCCTCACGATACCACGGGTACGTGATCAGCACACATGAGGGTGTGCTCGGCCACTCTCAGGCAAGTCTGAGGATTAAAGGCCAATGTACCGTTCCTCGGACTCAAAGAATTCGGGTAGCTTTCAGTCTCAAATTGTTTACTGCCATAGTCAGGCCGAGTATCATATTGGTTCAGCCATACTCATGAAGCTATTTCTGCGCTCTTTTGCATTTTACGCAAGAGGGTGGAAGAAACGATTCGTAAGATACAGTCATGGCGGGCATGTATAGCCAAAGGATGTTTCTTAGCAGATTATATTCATGGCATGCACTGTCGTCGCTATTTCAGGTTATTCTCACTGTTCATCATGATTTCCGATACCAGTCGGACGAAGATTTATGTGGCTGTCTCCTGTTCGGTCCTCCTCAAAGTCTTTCCTGAAAGCTGCTGTCAAAAGCAAGAGCGTTGAGGTTTGGTCACTACTGCAACAACTACAACATATACTGCTGTGCTCGCAGTTTTTTCCGGGGGGTAAAAGTAATTGGTTCTTCGTAAAAGACAAGTGAAAGGTCAGTAGTTAGAGTCCTGCTTTTACTAGAGGTGCGCAAATTACCCAATCCCGATACGGGGAGGACTGATTCCATCGGTGGGAATCTCGAGGTCCCAGAACTATGCCGAGAGCTCCTGGACTCAGGAACGAAAGCATGCATTTAGGATCACACACTACACGGTATAACAATTACAATCCAGTTTGAAAGTACGAGGTCGTAAATCTTTCATGGGCCCCCGACAAGACAACCAATTTACAACAAATTGTCAGAGTCCTCGAAGCGAGGTGAATCTTAGCGAATCGTTTGGAACAAGATTGTATTCTCCCGAATCAACGAGTCCTTCGCCTTGGTAAATTGCTAAAATGTGACTTATGGTACTTTATGAACTTCTAATCCCCCACATCCGTTGTGTGACTTCACCCTACTAAGAGACCAGTCGAGCAGTTGCTACCCCCAATCATCAGAGACAGATATCAATGAAAGTAGAACAGAATGCTCTCTCAAATTTACGACAACAAGATCAACAACCTCATCTTTTTGGCCGGGGATACTCAATCCTCCTGGTTTTCAGATCATTTGTGGCTGGACAATTATTTATGTGATCGTGAGACGGGAGCGGGTTCCATTAGCGTATAGTTTGCTGGATCCGCAGTCAACTTTCCATGTCCATGCAAACAGAACTTCACCTTGGCAAATGCGAACAACTGTTCTTCGTTGTTGGTCGCTACCATTCATGAGCTGTAATGGCAGGACCTTTGATCTCGAGGCTACTACGAGATGAGTATCGTGCAACTCGCAGCTCATGCTTTGTTCTTTGGAATTCTCACTATGTCCACAAAACGGCTATAAGATCTCTCTTACCAATTTCACCGTGCTCTTCGGAAAGAACAGGCTGATTAGGACGGCAGGAGCGGTCGCTGGAGGTGTTGCCGAGAGCGGATCGTTGAAATATGGCCAATCTCACAGACCAATGTCAAAATTTATACGGCGACAGGCCAGTACCTTGTGAGCAGTTTCAACGTCGTTACTGCCTAATCAGTTTGAAGGAATTCCTCACTGTATCTAGAGGGTCGAGCTAAAAGAGTTTTCAACTATCAATAATGCACGTTGTTCTCAATCATGGGCCAAGACAGCGGCAAGGTCCCAGAACTAACTGTTGGTGCCTGCGTGAGCCTTCATTCTGTCTGTCTTTCAGTTTTCTTCTTTCGACAGATTCGAATGCACAAACGAATCTGGTTTGGGGGTTCAGCTAGCAGTGTCGAGGAACAGAACCCTGCGAGGTTTTGCGTTGAGACGTAGTCTCCCGAAACTTGAATTGTGCCCGCCTCTCGATTCCGGCTCTCTGAGGCCTCGAGTAGACCATAGAGGCTAGTCGACTCACATGAAAGACAGAGAACATAGATTTTGACCTCAGAAGTTTTATAAGTGATAACTTGACACTGTTCCGGGATGGGTGAGCTGTAATAATGTCCTCCGGAAAGGCATTCAACATCCTCCCTGGATTTGGAAGCCCGTGGTCTTATCGCCGTTCTGGCAGCGGCTCCCTCGTAGCTTCGTGTACCCCTCATAAGCGCGGTATCAACGAGTGATCAATCTCGCATACTCCCGTTTTCTCGCAGTATCCCTTGCCAGATCTTCACTCCAAATGGGTTTGTGGCGCAAATAGGGGCCTGAAAAATAAGCGAGAACAATACGAAGGAGTTAAGCGAGTTTTCATTGTTCAAGCCATCCTTTAATTCTCTCCAATGCTTTCTGACCCTGCGACTCAAATTCAATTGCGGCGCAAGTAATTCACTCCTGGGGGTGGAACAATACGATCAACCTCGTCCTTTGGTATTATTCCTGCCAATTCCCACTCCGAAGTTTCGCTTCATAATATCAGCAATAATCATTGTTCCAAAGCGTTGACTGAACCACTTCAGCTACACTACACGAGGTTCATATTATTCTCGGAAACATCAAGATATTGTGTTGTAGCTGGCCCACAAATATTTACTACATAAGAAATCTCTTTCAGGTTTCCATCGAATCTTTCTTTCATCCTACATCGACTTCCGCGTTTCTTCAGCTCCAAACACTCGTCAAGATCTTCATCTTCTTTAGTAGCCTCTTCTATTCAAGTACTCCAGTACAGATCAAATCGCTCAAGAAATATGTCGTCCTCCAGCAGCACCTTCGACTACAAGACCCAGAATGTTACTTTCCTCATGAGAGATGGTGTCACCCAGGTCACCGCAAATATGGTGGATATCAACTACTTCTACTGCTACCTGGCCCGGATCGCCATCAACTACGGCTCTCAGCTCGGTGCATGCCTCATCATGTTCCTTGTTACCGCTATCCTCACGAAGGAAACCAAGCGCAGAACCCCAGTCTACATCCTCAACTTACTGTCACTCGCACTTGGCGTCATCCGCAACCTCCTCCTTGCGATCTATACTACCGGTCCCTGGGTTGACTTCTACAATACGTTTGGTGTCGACTTCGCCGATGTTCCGCGATCAGCCTACGCAAATAGTGTCGCAGCAACTGTTGTCCCTCTCCTCCTGACGATCACAGTCAACATGTCGCTCTTCCTTCAAGCCTACACTGTTTGCAAAGTCATGGATAGAAAGTACCTTTGGGGCGTGTGCTTCATCTCCGGGCTCGTCTTCCTGCTTGCTGTTGGATTCCGATTCGCCCTATGCATCACCAACTCTCGAGCAATCCTGAACTCCGCCTTATACTTCTCCTATGCTTGGATCTCCGTTGGAACTTTGGCAACCGAAACCATCTCCATCTGGTACTACTCCATCATCTTCACTAGCAAGCTGCTGTGGACTATCTACGCTCGCAAGAATATGGGCTTTCAGAAGTGGAGCTACATTCAGATACTCGCTGCTATGGGCGGATGCACCATGATCATTCCATGTAAGTTCTCCTCGTCTTCCAATCCAACCGTAATCACATCGCTGAATCTGAACAGCGGGCTTCGCAGTTCTCGAGTACGCTGCCCCTGATAGTTTTCCCTCTGCTGGTTCATTGGCTATAACCATTGTCGCCCTGCTACTTCCCCTCTCTTCCCTGTGGGCATCAATGGTCACCACCGAGCCTACTTCTTCCTTCAACGTTTCACAACTTTGGGGATCAAGATCATCTCAAGGCGGCTCCTCACTGGGAGGTAAGACCTTCAACAGTGGATCTTCTGGGCAGATGTCTTTTGGCACTGAGGTACGTACAATCCGTCCCTGGCTCGGTTTTGAGGCGGGTAAATACATACTAATCTACGGGACAGAGAAAGGGCAGTAATGCACCGATCAGCCCTTCAACCATCGATACAGTCATCGAGCATATTCCAGTCAAGTCCTCAAGAGATAGCACCGACCTTGATCTCGAGAGAATGGGTGTCCGAGTCAACCGCACTTACAGTGTACACAGCGGTCGTGAAAATGGCGGTGTTCGATCGGCATAAGGATGATGTCCGATTTGTGTCTTTGCATGGGTGGATTTGATACCTGGTGGTAGGAAGGTAGATACGGCTTGATGTATTTGGCATTGCAGTTTTGCGGAGGCACGGAATAGTCACCATCTCCACTTGCACATACGACTTATTTTCTTTCTTTCTCAATTGTAATATACTCAGTAGTCACACAGAAATCGATTGATCGTGGACACAAGTTCGAGTCCCAAGTACTAGTAACTGCATATTACATGATAGTTGGTATCTTCCCAGGTGGCAGATCGTCCTTGCCAGACTGCTCGAAAAAGCCGAAAATCCAGAAAAGGAAGGGCAAATTCCAACCTCCATGGGTCTTCTCCATGACCATCATTCGTGATACTCGACATTATTTCTTGGATCCAGTATCTCATTCTCGGGAGCTGGGCATCTCCTATAGAAGCGTTCGCTCTTCGACCCGCATAGAACGATTTCCTTTTTTGATAATATCAACCATTGTATCACAAGCTCGTATTCCTGCTCGTGCAGGCGTTATCGACATGAATTACTTTACCGCGAAACGAAGCCCATCCTCGGCATCCAGACGGGGTGCCCGTCGATCACGGCATACAAAGTCGGATCAAAGCCAGCAGCTTCATACCAAAGGGCCTCTTAATAGCAGGAAAGAAAAACCCTCGGCTCGCACATCTCATCGAATATCCTTCGGCCTAGTTTCTCTCGTCACCAAGTTCGAAGCTCTCGACGCATTGAGCCTACCTATTCCCGCACCCTCTTTGCAGCCGGCACCTCTTCAGATACCGCGAAGCCCGTCCAAAGATAGAGGCGGCACAGGACATAACTACAGGAGAAGATTATCGACTATATTCAACCCTAGGAGAGGGAGCATCGACAGACATGGGAAAGATTTTACCGAGAGCGATTCCAAAGTCGCGCGAGCAGATGTCTTTGTCTTATCGAACAACGAGGTTATTCGAGTAGGGGTTAGGAAAGTCCAGGACCCCGAAATGCTAAGCAACGTAAGACTCCGTGGCGGTACCTGGGACGCAGACGGAACGATTCGCCGCAAGGAGTTCCGCGGCGTGGCCGCCCCCTATATTCAGAATGAGCTTTTGGGCCAGAGGAGGGCATTAATCGGGGATAAGATAAAATTTTTCGACGGAAGTAAGAAGTCCTGTAGCACCAAACCTCGCCTTACGAGCTGACGGTCTTGGATAGCAGTCTCAACGGGAAATAGCTCGCGAGCCATGAACACTGCGGTCACCAACACTCCCTCTTCTCTGTCCCGCATACAAGTCTGTGACAAAAATTTCCTCTTGACGCCGTCGACTGCCAGCTCACGGCGGACACACGTACGAAATAATCGAATTGAGGCGTTCACACCTACCAAGTCCAGCCAGACTTCACCCGTGAAGCAATGCCTTGCTGAACCATCGCCTGGTCACGCACTCGCTCCAAGCTCTCCCTCTAAGTCATCGATTAGCAAAAATACTATTCGGACTCTGGATAGCTATGGGAAGTACAGATATAAACAAGAGGGATCTCCCTCTATCTCGTCCATCCAGTCCCTCCGGAATAGACGCCAGAGAAATGCGATTCTAGATACACGTCAACATACAGCTCTGGGAGGAGACGGCAGTCCACCTTTCATGGGAGAAATGCCTGACGAGAGCATTAGGCCTTTGAGCAGAAGACGGCTAAGCAACAAGATATCCGAGCTATATAGTGCTAAGAGCTTAGAGAAGAGAAATACCTTCCCACAAGAGTACACGGCTGAACAAGCATCGAGTGTCGCGATCACAGCGAGAAACACTGAACATAACTTAGTGACAGCTAAGCCGGGACGCAAGAGCGTTCGCGAAAGGAAGAATTCCAAAGTTGCAGCCATGAGGAAGATATTTGATCGCAACTTTGCTTCCAAGTCATCGTCTTCTGATAAACCGCCGGCTCCACCAATACCGGTCGCCGAAGATCCTTTGGCCGTACCGGAGGAGAAACGACAACAAAATGATACATTTGGTATTCCACCACCGCCAGAACCACCGGTTCTTCCACTTGTGCCAAGTCCACAACCCAAGATAGAGTCAATGGTGATGCCAAGTGTTATGCAGGAAATAACATCCAATGTCGGAAACGCGCCACAAATATCAATGACATGGCCCTCTCAGCCAAGCTCTCCAAATAAAAAGCTTTCTACACCAAAGAGCAAGACATTTGGAGAAAAGCTCAAGATCTTCGAGAACGCGTCCCAGAATACTGATAAGCCGGCACCGCCGATACAAAGAAGGCGAACGATATTCCGGAGGAAGCTGAGTAAGTCTCTGCGAAGTTTGTTCGAGCCACCCTCGCGAAAGAGTCAAGATGAGGCCGAGACGGAAAAGACCATGGTGCCAATTGGCGAACCTGCGAAGAAAGATAGGGTTCTGAGTCCAGATGGTAATGGTACAATTGGTAAGAGGAGTACTGTTGTCGGCAGATGGAACAGGTTTCCACCAACGCCAGTTTCAAGTGGAGGGGATGGGACCATGAGCGAGAGGCAATCGTTGTCGCAGGCTGATGAAGAGAGAGTCCACATGGTGATTAAAGGAGTCGAGTGTGGCTTGAAGGAACCAAGACCAGTTCGGGCGGTTGAGATGGAACGGATGGTTTTACTCTGTCGGGACCGGAATGGCGACATGTTGGAAAAAGGCGGGGTCGGACAGAGCACCACAAGGAGAAGAATATGATATGTTGTCTCTGGGTAGCGGGTTTCCTGGATCACGATCAACGTATCAATACTTGAGTAGTCAATAGTAACAAGTGGACTTATTTCTGATTGGTATCTGTGTGCCGTTTCAATACGTTTCTAAACCCATCCCCTCCCCAATCTTCTTTACCAATGCCTTCTTTAAATACCACTCCCGAGCCAAGGACCTTGTCATCTTCGCGAACACTGCTGGCGTGATTCTACCCCGTTCAACTGCCCTCCCAAGAATGAACAGGGCATCCCCTAAACTCCTTTCCTCGCTCACAAGCCCATAAAGCTGATTTGCGACCACAGTAGGCGCTACGAGCAGCTCATCTACACTCGGCGCCGTACGATGCTGACTCGACTCGATGACCTCATCTGCACCGTGGAGAGCAGAACGTAGGATTTGTGTATTTGTAGACAACAAACTGCTTAGGGACTCTAGAGCTTGAATCTCTGCCTGCATGCTGTTGAGCGAGATCAGCATGGCTTTGTGCTGTGCTTCCAGGCCTGGTAGACTGGCGCTTGTCTGATTGCGTGTATGTTGGCGTTGGGAATAGAGAGCTTGGCCTAGCTTGTGGAGAAGCATGTCTTTTTCGGGATTTGGGGGGATAGGAGGCGCGGGAAGGTTTGTAGATGCTTCGGAGGGGATATCGAGGACGAGAGGGGCGTCTAGGAGATCGGGAGGGGGTGGAGGCTTGGCGAGGAGTTGCGAGGGTGGCTGTTGGGGGTAGTGCTGTTGCAATTGGGATGGCTGGCCTTGATATTGCTGTTGCGGTTGCTTTTGGGCATTGTATATGGGTGGCGATCGAGCTTGTTGGGGACTGTAGAGAGGATTTGGGTTCTGAGATGAGTATTGCTGTTGGTATGATTGGATTCGCGGCGGAGACAGAGGACCGGCAGAACCGTCTCTCGAGCTTTGTTGCCGTTGAGGCAGAGGCGATGGAGATGATCTCTCGTAGTTAAGACTGCTGGGCCTTTGCAAGCATTCATTTGAAACCGGCCGCCCTTGTTGCCCGTATCGGGAGTTCTCATGACCAGGGGGCAAAGGAGGGAGGGGTGGACCACTGTCCTTTCCAGAGGGCCCTGCGGTTGAGTATTGTTGAAAATTGCTATTAAGTTTTGGCGGAGGAGGTGGAGGTGGGGGACCAGCTCGCCCGCTTAAATCGGGAGTATTCGAATATATAGATGTTGGTCTGCCGGGTGGAGGAGGTGGTATTGGTGGGGGTGTTTGACTAGGCTGGGGACGAGGGATGGTCTGTTGTTGTCGAGACACAACGGGAGGTTCTTTGGCAAATATCTCTCTCAAAATCGCCATGAAATCGAGGATATTGGATTTCTATATGTAGATAGTGATCAGAGCAAGCTCCAAACCACGAATACTGTCGGCCACTTACATCCCAGAACTCTGCCCACCCAACCAAGTATGGATGATAGACCTTGCCCTGCGAATCAACGTGTTGACCTGGCCTGACCATCATCCCGTCGGTCGGTGCAGCATATACAAGCGGAGGTTCCATTGGATAGGCATGCGGTACCCATATTGCTACCGGGAATCGGTATGTGGTGCCTCGAAAGACAACTGGGAGAGTGCCCGAAATGTGGAGGAGGAGCGCCGGCTTGCCATTCTCGTAGGCTGCGAGTTTACAAATCAGCTTTGCAACGTTTGAAGTCCACACATTGCAAGCATACTGTAGACATCGGTTCGTGGGGAGAGTGAGGAGTAATGCGACAGCGTCTGAGCCACATCGGTGTATGTACGGTTTACATCTTTGTATTCCTGTGTATGTTCAGTCAGTATTGCTTCCTGCAGCGAACAAGTGGAATACATACACTTGTTAAGACACTGTAAAGCCAGTTCAGTACCTGCTGTTTAACAGCCGCCATCGTTGCCTAAGGTCCGTCATCTTGTCGACGGCTTCTGGAAGCTGCGGTATTCGGTCAGGCACAGGCACTCGATTGCGGCTCTTGCTTGGCACTCAGGTGATATCAGCATCACGTGATCGCTGTCTTAATCTAGTCAAGCACCCTCGGCCGTCGAGTTAAGCTCGGGAGAGCGAAACAGCGCCACTATCCGAGCCAGGCTAAGTCTTTCAGAATTGTCGCGGCGATGCCGCACGATGCCGCAGTTACTTTTTCTTTCTCTTACTTAACATTCCCTCTCCTCGCAAACTCTCATGTTTGATGCAAATCACATCCACAAGTTTCCTCAACGGCTGAGGAGTATCGGACAAGATCTGTATGCTCCTTGCGTCTGGTACGATTGATCCGTCCAAACACTTCTTCGATATGCTTCCTCCTCTCCCAGCCCTTGGCGACTACGGAATATCACCAGAGTATGGATTTCTTCCGGCCGAGTTGCCTCTTGAGAGGTTGCCAGACCCATACTACAACAAGTGGGAGTCTATTGTAGCAAACCTCCAGGGGCTAATCCTCAGCAAACGTTTGCGCGGGGTCATTGATCAACTTCCTGTCCTATCTACCATTGGTCTGGAACACGATTCTGAATGGAGAAGAGCGTATTCCTTGTTGTGCTTCATGGCACATGGCTACATCTGGGGCGGTGATAGTCCCTCACAGGTAAGTCGTCAATAGCATCTGCGCTGAGCCTACTCAGACTGATATTTAGAAAGCGTCTGCCAGCTGCGATCTCAGTTCCGATCATTCACATCTCTGCGCACCTCGAGTTGCCCCCAGTTGCTACCTACGCAGCTGTTTGCCTATGGAATTTCAAGCCATTGTTCCAAGATGAAGCAGTCGATAACATGGAGAATCTCGCGACTCTCACAACCTTCACTGGTTCAATCGACGAATCTTGGTTCTACCTCATATCAGTTGCCATCGAAGCGCGGGGTGCGCCCATCCTACCTTTGATGATCACTGCGATGCAAGCAGCAAGGGTCAACGATAGCACTACCGTCACAGCGTGCCTTCGAGCATTCGCGGAGAGGTTGGATGATCTTGGTGGCCTCTTGCAGCGCATGCATGAGAGCTGCGACCCTCATATCTTCTATAACCGCATTCGCCCATTCCTTGCCGGCAGCAAGAACATGGGAGAAGCCGGGCTGCCAGATGGTGTGATCTACGAAGATGGCACAGGGACTGAGAGGTTCCGACAATACAGTGGCGGGAGCAATGCGCAAAGCTCCCTTATTCAATTCTTCGATATTGCTCTTGGCATCGAACATCGTCCGACTGGTGAAAAGACGGGCATAGTTTCCGAGAGTAAGCTAGAGGGTACTGCACCGCCGCCACCACCAAAGCACAACTTCTTGCTTGAGATGCGTAAATACATGCCTGGGCCGCATCGCCGTTTTCTAGAAGACGTAACCAAGGTTGCTAACATTCGCGCTTACGTTGAAAGCCACCGGGACATTTCGGGGCTAACTTTGGCTTACGATGCTTGCCTCGCTATGCTCCGGGAATTCCGGAGCAAACACATTAACATCGTGTCCCGGTACATTGTGATCATGTCACGCGAGTCGATATCTCTGTCTCGATCCAGGAGCCCTGCTGTGCCGCACCACAAGATGAATATCGCAACAGCATCTCGCCAGGACAACACTGAGTCCGGCAAGAAGAACTTGAAAGGGACCGGCGGCACAGCATTGATTCCATTTCTGAAGCAAGCCCGAGATGAAACTGGAGAGCCAGCCATCGATTCTTGGGCCCGACGGGTTATGAACAGAGACTTCAGTATCAAAGGTTCAGGTGACTTCTTTTCTGGGAAGCTTAACACCGTTGATGCCAATGATACTTGCGGATTGGCGGGAACATGGGCCCTAGACGAGCACGCGGGTGGTTTGTGTCACTATTGATGTGCTTTTCTTGTAGATCTCAGAAGAGCTAGGAAAAGTACATAGCGAAAAACCTGAGCAGCGAGTAGTAATTGACAGGATTAATGTCTCCTGACTTCATGGCCTTTTGTGAATTTTACCTTGAGAAACAATACTTTTTACAAGAAGTAGTAACCGCGAATTCCCTTACGCGCCCGGCCAAGTAATGTTTACAGTCATCACGATATAATCGAATATAAAATACTGCATTGATGTTGTGCGCCTTGAAGGACGACCTCGATTACAAAAGATTGACTGCTAAGCTCGATGCAGGAGTTAAAATATCACGTGGTATATATCACGGCAGTACCACTTTCGCGTCCTTTTGAACGCGCCGGCTCCGACCATCCCTCCTTCTCCCCAACCAAACTCGGACCCCATCTTTACGATGTCAAGAAATTTTGACAGAGAGGATGGCGCGGGTCCATTACAGCGAGGACGACTCCGATACCAGAAGCAGGACTACGAGGGCGCAGTCGAAGCCTTCACTGAGGTACGTACACGCAGGCTTGGGAGAGACGCATATCGCGAGAGCGAAGATTCTCAAGGTACCATTTTCCTTCCGAGCAGTTGTTTACTCGATGTCTAGGCTGTCGATATGAGTACCGATCATATGCGCATGACTGCTTTGGATGCTCGTGCGGCAACCTACGAGAAGCTTCAACAGCTGCTTCCTGCGCTTCGAGACGCTAGGAGCATGATCGAGCTAAAGCCGAAGCAATCGAAAGTAAGTTTCTGACTTCTATACATTGGTATTCGTGCTAGAATTTTAGTAGGGCTATCTCAGAGCTGGTAAGGTGTTGCAATTGCAGGAAAAGCAAGACCTGGCTCTGAAGATATACGCAAGAGGCCTAGCAAAAGTACCCGCGTCTGGAATTGATAGAGACCGTCAAGTAAGCCGAATCGATATTCTGAGAATCAAATATTTAAACATTTGGAGGTCCTAACTCTTTAGCACCTTGTATCATTCTACGAGCAACTGCGATCGAGGATGAAGCCTAGCAAGAACCGGGATATTCTAGGACGCCTTCCCCTTGAGCTGGCTCTTATGGTCTGCCACCATCTATCAATGCGGGATCGAGTGTATGTCACCATGTCTCACCCATAGTGTGGGACGGCCATTGCTAACAAGATGCTCAGAATCGGGCTGGCAGTCTGTAAAGGCTGGAAAAAGATGCTGGAAGGCCATAAGGAGCTATGGACCACACTAGACACTTCGTACGCCAGAAAAGCAGTCAGCCTCAAGTACCTGCAGATCCATTTCAGAAGATCGGGCTACACATTGGATCGTGCTCTCATTACCCTCAGGGCATATATCGATGAGCAGAAGATGAAGCATCTCACGAAATATTGCAAGCAGCTCCGCGAGTTGCATATCAGCGGTCCTGGCTCCATTGGAGATACTTTGGTCTCGGCCCTCCCCGGTGAGGTGAAACTCGAGAGGTTGACCATATCCCAAAACACCGAAATCACCCTGCATCATACTCAGATGGTTCTCCATAAATGCCGGGATTCGTTAATCGATGTCAAGTTCCTGAAGGTCATAGGCAGCAAAATTGCGTTCGTTCCAGGCAGATGGTCCATGGCCAAGTCGATTAAAAGCATACACCTGGGCACTGTTGAAGACGCATGTCTCGACTTTGTAGGTTCACAGTTCCTCTTCCATCGTCTCTCTTGCCTCCGCCCTCCCAACTGTTCACTAACTGCCCAAGAACGGTCTTCGAGATGCTACTCCAAATGCCACATCGGTAATCTTAAACGGCTGGAAAATCATGCTCCCTCTGATCGACGCCAAAAACTGGACTGCTCTCGAACGCCTCGACCTCACTAACACCTCGATCACGTCCCTTCCAAAGTACCCTGCGACTCTCAAACATCTGGTCCTGCGGAAGAATCCAAATTTGACCTTTGGGGTCAACGATGAGCTACCGGCTCATCTCCCTTTACTAGAGACCTTCGCCTGTTCCTCTACCTCTCTCGATGGCAACGCTCTTAAGCTCATTGTCGGAGACTCTATCGAAGGCGGAAATCTCAAGAGCCTCGAGCTTGGAGATCGCCACGTCAACGAACGGCCTAGCCTTGTCAAAGACGACTTCCCCGCCTCGGAGACGGTGGAAGAACTTTCCCTCGCAGGTATGCTCCTAAACGACAGATCGGCTCCAGAGGTAGTAGGGCTCTACCCCAACCTCAAGCGCTTGGATATGTCGAATACCCGAATTACTGGCGTATCTGTCAAGGCTTTTGTCAAGATGGGTATCAAGTGGCTGAAGATCAATGGCTGTGAGTCGATCAGCATTGATGCTGTGCAGTGGGCTAGGGGCAAGGATGTCGAAGTCAATCACAACTTCGTTGGTCAAGGAGTGCAAATGAGGCAGCATCCGAGTATTAGGGACAGCGCGTTCGCGAATAACTTCTGATTGGTGGTGTCTGCCTATCTTCAAAGTTTTTTGCAAGGAATAAGTTGCACCTTTAAGATCACCTTACAGCTTTTTGGCTTTACGGTTTGGTGCTCCTAGTCTGGAACGTTTGGGGGCACGTCTGGTCGACAAATTCATACAGGATTCTAGGGTTTCAATATCAGGGTTTTTATCCCCCATGCCGCATAGAAACTCTTGCAAGGTTATCTGCACTCTTTGCTACCTATCAACCGTCACATTCCATGCAAGCCATGCATTGGCAGCTAGGTCCTGTGTTTTTCTTTCCGCTCCCTCTCCTTACTGCAAATTCACGAACATTCCCCCATCAACCAGCAGCTGCGCCCCATTCACATACCCACTCAACTCTTCGCATGCTAAAAAGACCGCCGGGCCCGCCATATCCCTCGGCTCGCCCGTCCTCCCCAGCGGTATCCTCGTTTCCGTGTATTCCCTCTTCTTGTCATCCTTCAGATCTTCCTCGTTCAGCTGCGTCTTGATCGTACCCGGCAGCAGCGCGTTGCATCGTATCTTGTGCTTGCCGAGCGCGACAGCCATGCTCTGCATGAGGGAGAGCACGCCTGCTTTGGTGGGCGTGTAGTGGGTTTGCATGCCGCCGCCGACGAGTGCGGAGATGGACGATATGGCGATGATGCTGCCGCCGCTTTTCTGCTCTGCCATTTGCCGGGCGGCCGCTTGGCAGGAGTAGAAGGCGCCGTCGAGGTTGATGCGGACGGTGGATGCGAAGAGGTCATGGTCGAGTCTGGAAAGGGGAGAATGATAAGCTGGGGGTTGAGCTAGCTACCTACACATGATTTCTCTGCCTCTTCGCGCCAGTCCCCGGCCCGCCATATCGTACCTGAACTTGAAAATTCTTCACACAACGAGGAAGGGGGAACTTACTCCAAGAACTCCGCAAACTGGCAGACGCCCGCATTACTGACAAAAATATCTAGGCGTCCAAACGCCTTCACGGCCTCCTCCACCAGCAGCTTCCCCGTCTCCGGCTTGCTCACATCGCCCTCGACCTCAATGAGTCTCCCGGCCTTCTCGTCCTTCTCTCCTATCGCTGCTGCTTCGGCCAGGAGCGTCGCCTTGTGGTGCGAGTCCGAGGGGAGGTTGAGGTGATTGATGGCGACGTTGCTGCCCTGGCGGAGGAACTCGAGGGCGATGGCCCGTCCGATGCCTGTCGTACCGCCGGTTATGGCCGCCGTCTTGGAAAGGAGGAGGTGGTGCGCCATGGTTCGCGCCTCGTTGGTTGTCTCTGGTTTGGAGATATGAAGCTTTTTAGGGGATGGCGGGGTAACTCTCAACAGAGGTCTGAGGATATTCAAGGGGTGTGTAATTTTCACCTCGAAGCAGCGATTGGATCTCGCTAAAAATCGAAGTGTTCATGAGAGTAATTTGGAGAGGTGCGAGTTCCCAGACGGATGACCTATCATCGCGTCAAAGAATGTGAAGCTGGCGTTGAGCTGCGTGGCTCCCCGAGAAGCATGCGCTGGCTGGGTTCGAGAATTTGGATCCCTGCGGAAACCCCGCGATTTCGGTCATCCGGGTCATCTGGTACCGAGACGAGAAGCTTGGCTCTTGGTGATCGCCTGGGAGAGACCTCGGCATCGAACAAGGCTTAACGTAAGAGAGCGTTCATCATATTTACATATCTCTCAGCTTGAAAACTTTTAGATCAGGCGTAACTTTCCGGGTCTTAGGTGGTGGAGTCTGGTTGTTTATGTGTAAGCGAACCGAGAGGTTTTGTCGCGTGTGGTGTGGCAACCCGAAGATGGGTATGCATGGCCGTTGTGGCTGCGTTCCTTTTGTGACCCTTCAGAAAGCGGGTGTCACAAGAAGAAGAGACGACATGAATGCTGATACAAATTTATTATCCAAATCTAGATCTCACAGGCACCCAAGCACTAACCCAAAGGAGGTACACAAACAGGCCTACGAGGTCGTCAAGTCTTGAATCCCCTTAATAGTGCCATTGAGCATTCCCTCGCTTTCCGTCTTTTTCTCCACCTTGGCTGGCTGCTCAAGGGCTGCTTGCCCAAGTGGCCTTTCCGGGTTTGGTGTTAACAAGTACTTTGCTGGGATCAATTTAGCAGCTGGGTTCAGCGTCAATCCGAATCCTGGCTTGTCGAGCTGTGTAGCATTCAAAAATCCCTCCAGCGGGATTGGCTCATCCAAAAACAAGTCTCCGAACACGGGCAGCACACTCTTGCCATCAGGAGAGTTTGCAAGGTATTCCTGGAACGGGCAATTCGTCTGGGAGAGAACAAAGTGGTAGCTGTACGGTCCACTCGCGTGTGGGACAACTGGGATGTCGTACGCGGAGGCCATGGCAGCCACTTTCAGGAGCTCGGTAAGGCCACCCAGCCACATCACATCTGGTTGGATGATGTCGAGATTCCGGCCCTCGATCAGCTTGCGGAAGCCGTATCGTGAGTATTCGTGCTCTCCGGTAGTGAACTTGAGCTGGGGGTGGGCTCGCTTAATCTGTGCGAAGCCATCCGTATCGTCTGGCGAGAGGCACTCTTCCCACCAATTGATGTTCAAGTCGAGACATGCGGTTGCAAGATCAATGGTGTATGGGACGTTCAGACTCATGTAGCAATCCACCATGAGTGGAAAGTCCGGACCTACGCTTTCTCTGTGCTTCCGCAAGAATTCGACATTCTTTTTCAAGCCCTTGTGGCCCTCTTCTGGACAGTACGGCAATGGAACTTTGGCACCCCAGAATCCCATAGCCTTGGCCGCTGTTGGCTCTGGACCAGTGCAATAGAAATCAAGCCTCTCTCTTGTTGCGCCTCCAATGAGCTTATACACCGGCTCGTTCCTGATCTTTCCTTGCAAATCCCAGAGCGCCAGGTCGATCACCGAGATGACGGCAACCGGAAGTCCTTTTCGACCATAGAACATGGAACCTCTGTACATTTGCTCGAACAAGTGGTTGGTATCGCGGGGATCGGCGCCGATCAGGAATCGTTCGAAATGTTGATGGACAAGCCAGCATGCTGGGGGGCCTTCAAGCGAGGTTAGCGATAGCTTCCGGAATTTCGGGTGGTATTTCATATCATACCCCCGAATCCAGTTGCGAACCCGACGGTGCCATCCGATCCCTCAATCTCGACGCAGAAAGAACCCAAGACGTTGATACCCCAGCTCGTTCTTGACGCTCGGTAATTCTCCCATCTGGACATGGGTGTCGATATGGAGGTATCAATCAGCCTATCCGAAGGTCAGTACTGCGTGCCAATGGAGCGGTTTACAGAGCAAAGTATCCTACCAGTGCCCGCCCTTCACATTGTGGTAGTCTCCTCCGGAGCCAACGCCATCCACAACATATGTGCGGATGGCCTTGATGACGGGGAAATTTCTAGCAGCGGCAGACATGATATATGAGTGATGACAGAGGGTGAAGCGCAAATGGGAGAAGATATGTCTGGCTGGCTGGGTGAATGTGGTATAATAGCTAGTCTATATGGGAGAGGGAGACAGTCGGAGGATTCAAGTAGATAGGCAGGGCACTGGGCACTGCCTCAGACGAGGCCTGATCAACCAGCTTTCATTCTTGTCTGGTGGGGTATGAGAGGTCAGTCAGTAGCTGCAGTAGCTCGGGACAATCTACACCGGAGTGTATGCCGAGGCCGAGGTCGAGGGTTGAGGTTGAGCTTGAAGTTGAGGTTGAGGTGAATGTGAATGTGAATGTGAATGTGAATGTGAATGAATAAAAATCCGAACTTGACTTGGATCGGATAAGGGTCAAGGTAAATCAAAATCAATATTCATCTGCATCCGTAGGTAACATTAAGACGGAGATTTATCGGTTCTTTCAGCGGTCAGCAGCATTTCATTTCTCTGGCGTACGGAGTGCACATACCGGTAGGTACCTACCTATACCTAGGTATATGCATGCAGGCATGTCCGCCCTGCGCACGCGACACGGCACAACCGTTGAGTTGACCATCCCATCACATGATGGCCGTGGGTGCCACCTGTAAGTGAAGTAGAAAGAGAGAGAGAGAGAGAGAGAGAGAGAGAGAGAGAGAGAGACACAGAGAGAGAGATGGGTGAATTCCAATTCTCAATCAATCCTCTCGTGCCAGGTCACGCCTCTCGACTCGGCCTGTCGAGAAATCGAGAAATCGAGAAATTCTCGAGCTACCCAAGTTGCATGGTCGTCTGCCCCTCCCTCTGCCCCTCTGCCCCTCCCCCTCCTCCTCCACCCCCAGTTTGTTCGCCTCGCCTCGCTATTAAAGTACACCGAGCCCTCCCGGCTCTCGTTCTCAACTCCACCGAATAGCTCTCGCTTCTCCCAGCTACCCAGCTACCCAGCTACCCAGCTACCCAGCTCCCAAGCTCCCAAGCTCCCAGCCCGACGCCCGACCATCCATGGACCTCCAACGCTCCTCAGGGTCGTCGCCGCTACGCTCAGGAGGAAATCAGCCCGAGAGCGAGGATGAAAACGCCTACAGCGACGACGATAGCGCCGCCGAAAATGGAGACAATGGTGACAATGCCAACCCGCCCCGTAAGAGACAGCGGCGGCCGATGTCGGTTTCGTAAGATCTATTCATCTCCATCTCCATCTCCAATATCTCCATCTTCATGTCCATGTCCATGTCTCTCTCGCCAGTCACTCCTCAGGACATCGGGAGCAACCCCCCGGCTGCTTCAACGTTGGAGCCCGAAGACGTTCCAAGTCGAGACTTTGACCCGAACTCGCTAACAGTTATTCGTCGAAGGTGTGAGCTGTGCAAGCAAAGAAAGGTATGGCTGTTCCAACTATTCGGCAGTGTTTCGTAAAGGACTAGTTGTGCGGCTCCTGCAAATGTTCACCAGCTTCATCATACTTCTTCATGGAACAGATTTTGCCTATATATTCCTCCCATCTCTTATCGCGTCATAAAAACCGCCTTACTTTAAGGCAATATGACCCAGGTCCTACAGACCGTTTATTTAACTATGCTGGTTCTTTTTGGGCGTCTCATTCACTCACTTCCCTTTGTATCATACTTGTTCATCTTCTGAAGACCTCTCTGACTTCAACCAGGTCAAGTGTGATCGCGGCCAACCTCAATGCGGATGGTGTAGTCGCAATGGAGCCGCTTGCGAGTACAAAGAAAGGAAAAAGCCTGGACTGAGGGCTGGCTACGGCAGAGAACTGGAGCAGCGATTAGACAGGTAAGATTTTCCCCCTATCTGGGAATCTAGTGATGATATATTCAAGAATCTTTGGAAGACATTGACTTCGTAGATTGTCCCATCAGATTTGCCACATTGGTCACGGTTTAATATCGTAGTCGAGAACTCCACAGCCAGCAACTGACTGCCTTAGGCTGGAGGAAATCATCAGAGGCCATTCTCAAATCCTCGAATCGACTTTCAGAAATCACAGCAACAGTATCCCTAGCGATCACGATACCCCTCAAAGTATTCCTGCCCTTCGTGGAAGCGACGGGTCACATTCGCAACCGCGCCATCTGCCGCAGGCAGAGACAGCACTCTTCATACAGAAACCTTCCACCTTCCCAGGCAGTCAACCAACTGACTTTGGCAATCACTTGCCTCTGACACCATCAATTTTGCACCGGGATCCTTTCCAGCAAGGAATGCAACAAACAAACCGTGTCCACAACCAAGCCCATCCACAAAATGGCCAGTCTCCGGAGTTCTACAACACCGCCCAACAACCGCTCCCATCACCTGGTCTTAATATCGCAACGAACCAGGGCGAGTGTGCTTCCAATCATGGACTTCCTCCGTATGACCTGTTGTACGCTCTTGTGGATCTGTACTTTAAACATGTCAATACTTGGTGTCCAATCTTGCATAGACGAACGACCCTAGATGCCCTTTTTGGTCCATCGGCTTTGGATGAGGCGGACAGAATCTTACTTTACGCCATAGTTGCGACGACGTTGAGGTTCTCCACTGATCAGCGTTTGACTGAAGACAGGAGGCGGCACTACCACGACATCAGCAAGCAAAAGGTGCTTTTGTACGGGCTGGAAAACTCTTCCGTCAAGGCCTTGCAGGCTCTGGTGATTCTGGCACTAGACCTCGTAGGTATTAGCAATGGCCCTCCGGGATGGAATTTACTTGCTCTCATCACGCGTTCTGTGGTCCAGCTTGGACTGGCCGTCGAGACGACATCCGTTTCTGTGTCTCCAAACTATCCTTCCATATATACACTACGAGCAATGGTTCTCCCCGAAGCAGATAGCTTCATCGAAGAGGAATCAAGGCGTCGTCTTTTCTGGATGGTGTACCTACTGGACCGTTACGCAACAATAGCTACCGCGTTTGAGTTCGCTCTCGACGAGAAGGAGATTGACCGAACACTGCCATGTCGGGAAGATCTATGGAACAGGAACCAACCAGTCCATACTCGATTCTTCCACACGAGCGAGAGGAAGGAATATGAGATCGACAAGCCAGAAAACTTAGGCACTTTCTCGTATTATATCGAGATACTCGGAATTCTTTCCAGGATCCATAGGTTCCTGAAGAAGCCAGTGGACATCAGCGCTCTTTCAGATGTCGAGCAGTGGCAAGGAGAGTATAGAGAGCTGGACAACATGCTTACATCGTGGAAGTTCGATCTGCCTGCGGACTATGGAAATATGGCGAAGCTCTTTCAGCCAGGGGGGAGCAAGTCCATAAACTGCGGGTGGGTCATGCTACATGGTAAGGTTCATGTCGCTTAGGAAATTGTGCTGGCTCATGTTTTCGGGTCTCGACAGCTTGGCACTTGCAACCTTACAAGAAGTCCACTGATTTGTTCAATAGCGACGTACCACACCACTGTCATCAGACTCCACTCCTCAGCTGCCTACCCAACAACGAGATCTCCGATTTTCACGCCCTCCTACAGCGCAAGTCAACGCTGCCACGGTGCGGTAGAGAACATTGCCGCGCTGGGCGAGTTCGTCGTCAAGCATGGCATGCTCCCCAAACTCGGGCCACCCTTCGCCTTTACACTTTGGGTAGCAGCCCGCCTCCTGCTCGTTCACGGGTCCACCATCGAGCACAAGCTCAGCCCGCAGATTCAATTCTTCGTCGACACCCTGCAGGAAATGGGTCGGTACTGGCTCGTCGCTGAGCGGTACACGGCCATTCTCCAACGCGTGCTCGATGAGCACCGCGACTCCGAACGCACAGTTGGGATGCACGGTGAGCGAGTTACGCCGTCTTCAGTGAAGATTCTGGCGGATATGAGGCGCTGCGCGTATGACCTGGATTTCCTGATCTCGAGGCAGCCGAAGCATATCGGTATGGCATCACGCATTCCTAGCGTGACGCCGTCCAGGACTCCAGCTCCCAACGAGCTCGAATATTTGGATGTCTTCGACTTCTTCAACGTCCCCAGGCTGCCTGTGGAGGCAGGTCATGTCTCTGGGAATGGCGTGGGGGATCTGCATATTCCTGGGATGGGCAACGGGACCAACGAGTTCAACATCACGAATTTCATAGTTGATGCCAATTCGGATTGGCTGTTCAAGAACGAGAGTTGAGCTATATGACTGCCTAGAATAGCAAGAAATTGGGTTCCACAAACGGGGATGTAGGGCTGGGGCTCGGTCATAGAGGGACTTCGGGGAACACCGGACTCAGGGAACGTCGTCGGCTCGTTGGGCCTGGCACGTACTGCTGGGCAGAACACGAAATATTGCCGAATTCCACCTCCAGAAAGCAGAAAGGAAGTTTGGTATGCGGCAAGCACCACTCGACATCCGAAAGAGCTTGGCTGCGAGGCAAGAGGACATATTAGGGAAATTGAAAATTAAAGCACCAACACGCAGGGGTGAACAAGAGCGAAAGCCACGCATTTATCAACAAGCAAATGACAATGCTCAACTCGTCAACGCAATGAGGCTCATCGCGCTTCTCCTATTGGGATTTTCTATGGAACGGGAGCAAGTCAAATTGGATTAAGCTAAGCCTCGGCACAGGAATAAGCTGGTGGTCTGTGGCAGGTAGTAAATAGACAAAATAAAGGCTAGACTGTGTGTGTAGGCTGAAGAGGCTAAGGGAGCTGTGATTTGTGATTTGTGATTTGTGATTTGTAGAGATGGCAGCACATCAAATGCGAAAGAGGGAGACGAACTGAAGTTTTGGAAGTGTACGCCAGGATCCCGGAAGCTCTCTCATGACGGCGCTTTACTTTCGAGGCTGGCGGCGTGATCATCTGCGTACGACAGCCATCTGTATTTTGTCGGCATTTCATCTGGTCAGAGTATATCTGCCTCTCCTAGGAGTAAGTACATGTTAGGCGGGTACTGCCGGACGCTCCGTCTTTGACGCGGTGCTGGGATCTGCGTCCTCGCCGCCGCCGTAAAGGCGGCAGTATTATTATTATCGTCGCCGCAATTGAAGGGAGTGGACGTCGGAACCACGGTGGAGCTGACAAATTGATCAGTAGGTACGGTATCCGCGAGTCCGGAGCCGTGTCATGTAACAATCAATGGAAGGCGAGCTTACCTAATAACACTACACTAACGGCATCTCATCTGCATCTGCGTACCTGCACTCACTCGCCGAGGTTGATTGGGACGTGATTAGATTGCATTTGCAAAAGCATCCCTACCGGTACTGGGCCACGGCTGCCTCGACGGCGAGCCCGAAAGTCCGGCTTTGCAACACAGCGGCTGTTCCCGACGCATCAATATCTGACGGTCAGACTTTCATTCCTTCTGCTATACAAGTGCTTGTATCCACTCAGCCCTTGGAAAAGTCAATTGGACGCCATACGCAATAGACAGAGGCGCTATTTACTTAGCGTTTAATTTAGCGAGGCTCTCAGCCCAAGGCAGACTTGGGACAGACAATTTGGTCTGCACTGCTTATCTATATATATTGTACTATATGTTGATACGTTGTTGTACGATGGCTGATATTAATTCCTCGACTCAGAATTGCTGCATTAGACTCATCGTAGGTAGATCGGCAGAGATAGAAAGATCTTGGCATCCAGTACTGTCTGTACTCGCAGAGGTAGGTAGGTACCGTACCTAATCAATACAATACCTCAGGTTTCGTAAGCCCAAGCATTTCCAGAGAGTGTGCACCGTGTCCCAGCCCAGCCAAGGCACGGCTGCCAAGAGACTAACTCTATATTCTGGGCGTAGATAAGTAAATAAAGTGCAACACGGAGTCCAATTGAAGACCTACTTCTACGAAACTTGGGACTTTGGGTACTACTTCCGTAGACAACTTTTTAGTTGAACGCCATCTATCGCAAAGTCTTCTGGCAAGAATCAAATGTACCCTACCTGTCGATAAATCGACCCTGCATATATGCACAGTAAGTAGGCAGATGACACTCCTTACCACCCCCTGAATATCGTTGACTGCTCTCAGGAAGAGCGTTTCATCTGCACCCGAAGCTATTGATGCAAAAACGGCTGGGATAGGTTAAAGTCAGCGCACTGACTATTATGGCAATGGAATATCGTCCGAATGTTGTCCCCATCATGTCGTGGTAGTGTGCTGTGTTTTGAAATACACGTGCCGTTTTGCCGACATCCCCCGGCTAAGCCCGGTGCACGGTAGGTACCGGTACAACTAGTAGTATGAGCCCGGTGCTCTACCGAGATGATTAGTTGTGATCCTGAACCTGAACCTGAACCTGAACCTGAACCTGAGCCTAGTCCTGAGCCTGGTCCTGATCCTAATATGAGTAGTTGTACGTGCTGATTCTGTATGTCTATAACCGGCTTGGCTCGGCTCAAGGAGAGGAGAGGAGAGGAGAGGAGAGGAGGAAAGATGCAATGTTGACAGACAAACGTCAAGTGTGCTCTTGCTATACTATGCTATACTATGCTATGCTATGCTTTGCCATGTATGCTTTGCCATGTATGCTTTGCCATGTATGCTTTGCCATGTATACTTTGCCATGTATCCTTTGCCATGTATGCTTTGCCATGTACGTTGTATGCTCTGCCATGTATGCCAAGCCATGGTTATTCGTTGATGCCGGATCATTCTCATCTCCATCTCCCAAAACGCTGCCTTGCGTCTCTTGGCCCGACAGCTACGGTACGTGCTCTCTTCTCTTCTCTCTCCCAGGTCCCGCGAAAAGTACCTAGAGGAGTAAGGTGTCTGCTGATGTCTGGCTTTCCCCGCTACTATAACTATAACTATAAAACAGTAATTGCGGTACCTACCATATGGATACCTAGATACATGTACTACGTACATGACCCTATCAGATGGCCTGATGTCGCTCGATCGCGGCTATCTTAAGACTTGATCACCGCGTTGGGAATGCCTGTTCCTAGGCCTGGTGGGAGCCGCACCGATCTATCGAAGTACGGATATGCCCAGAGAGTAATTCGAATTTCAGCAGCATTTAGTCAGTCAAATCCTCCCTACGAAACCACAAGTCTACCTGAAAACTGCATTACCTAACTACATTACTTAAGTACATTCCTTAAGTACATTCCTTAAGTACATTACTTAACCACATTACTTAACTACATTACTTAATTACATTACCTACCTCCGTTGCCTACCTCCGTTACCAACCTCCGTTACCTATCTAGAATATTTGCCTACCTAGCTAAGTACACGTCAGTTTATCTTATTTCCGAAAAACATACGGAGTAGATACACAGATACAGGGATCGCGGGATCCATGTTCACGCTCATGCACCACCGATGACCTTTTTGGAAGTGGAGTTGCAGCCCCCTTGTACCCTTTGATACTCCGCAAGATCGCGTTATGCACCAGGTCCTGGTCCTGGTCCTGGTCCTGGTCCAGGTCTTCGGTAGAGCCAGGGACTTCCTTCCGTATTTTGGTCCTGTAGCTCTCGAGGCTGAGGTTTCACTCATGATCAGCGAGCCATCTCAGCCTTCCACTTCCCCGGTCTGCTATGGTAAGCGACTCTCGTACCGGCACTGTAGACCTCTCTTCCCTCTCCATAGACTGAATACCCATCCACCCGTTTGGGGCCGCAGTCTCCAGTCTCCAGTCTCCAGTCTGCAGTCTTCAGTCTTCAATCTTCAATCTTCAGTCTTCGGGCCTAGGTGCTATGATGTGCTAGTTCCTGTTCCCATGTTCTTCCTCCAAAAGAGCCTTGTCCTCTGGCGACACATCATCCAACTTCGACCCTCGTCCTCGACTCATCCTCTACCCTCCCTGGCAACAGTCTATCCTGCATCCAAGTTGACCTGCATATCAAGCTTGCAGTGCTCCACTGTTGCCTTATGTTAGTTATGGGACAGCTATTGCTTCCGGGCCGCAAAGTATAATAATACAATAGGCAGTCATATGCCTATTTCCAATGACTCCTCGCATCACATCCTCCAGTTTCGTGCTTCTTCATTAGATCTTTTTCGGTCTGCTCCTTGGTGTATTTATCTCACAGCATCGCTACTCCTCTCTGCCGCGCCTTGTTTTCAGATCTCTAACGGCCACTCCGCGACTCTTCGTCGTCCTTCTCACTGTTGCCCCACTACTCAGGCAACACCTCTTTCAATATTAAACTCCCCCAAGTCGATCTTAAGATGTGTTATATCGTTGTCGAAAGATATTCAGTCTGTCGGTGCCTTTACTACAAGCACAGTATCGATAGATGTGCTTCATATGGTCAACAAGGACATAAGATTCAAGAGCGGACTGTCTTGGTCGGATATGCTTGCGAGAAACATTCGGCATCTAATCAGCAACAAGCATCAAGTTCTCGCGACGGCTACTCGGACTCAGGCTATGGCACAGCAAGCCATTCCTCATGTCAACGCTCTTCCCGAAGACAGCATAGATGAAACGTACCGTCTTCGATAACGGGATGTGCGTGGTAATCTACCTCGCTTGCGCGCGCTTCAACTTCGACCGCTGGACACAGTCCATGGTGTCTTCTCTGTTCAAGACATCCATAGGACCCCCGTCTCAACTCACTGTCCCGCTCATCGGCCACAATCGACTGGGCTCTCTCCTCGGCACCATGGCATCTACCCACGATTATTTCTCCTCATCTTCCTCTACACATTCAAATCACCAGACACGGACGACAGGACGACAGGACGTCAGGACGACAGCACGACGCACGCGAAGCCATGAGCTTCCCAGAGTTATCGAAGGCGTAAAAGAAGGGAATCAACAAAAAGGGTTCAGGCAGTCATCCTTAACGGAAACGATATATCAACACGGCCACTGTTGGGAATTTTGGAAAGCATAGTGGGGTGGGCAGAGCATAGCGTCGATACTTGCTTGGGTCACTCACTGGGCATGATGTCTTTCGCCTCTTGCGCATCGCGACATACATTATTCTCTCTGCTCTTGCATCTCATATTTCTTACCGCATTCTTCTGCCGTTTTGTGAACTCTGCATGGGATGGATGATACCTGGTGTTTGGGAGGATATGTCTTTTTTTTGCTTTGGGCTTCTGGGGTCTTCCTTTCTACCCCGACGTTACCTGTTTTCTTCCACCATGGTGCCAATCCAATCTGAGATTCGCTGTCACCTGGTCATGTTATTTCCTTCCTTCTATCACTCTCAAGGAGCTGGACTCCAGCTCAGGCAGCGAAAATATGGTTTTCACAGGAAGAATCGCGGGATGCGTTGAAGCTGCTGCGCTCTTGATATTTTGTCTTGAGTTCTGTTCTTCAAGGCTTCCAGGCTGTACTCCAGACCCAACATTTCCGAGTTGTTCGCACGTGCTTCCTCGGCATTGGCAGAGCCAATCGGCTGTCGCACGTGGCGTACAGGACTTTAGGTACCGAAGTAGATAAAGCACCGTCCAAGCCAGCAAAATAAGAAATATCGCACCACGATTATTACACCATCAAAATTCAGATGCAAGCAGTGCGGGTCCCCGTCCCCGTCCCCGTCCCCGTCCCCGTCCCCGTCCTCCTCTTCCAAGCAGCATGCGAGGCGACCAGACGCGAGTAACGCTTGCGGACCGGGGCCGGCTAAAGAAGCCACCCCAGAGCCTTCTAGTCTCTAGCCTTCTAGTCTCTAGCCTTCTAGGCTCTAGAGAGGGGGACCATAGACCGACCATACGGAGGGACTGACTGACCGCTCTGCTCTTGCATTCGATCGTAATTACGATCGATATTCATACATCTACCGGTAAGGACTGCACACCTGCCCTCTCTTGCCAACCTTGAAGGCCCCCGGCGAAAAACACACCACATCCATCTCCATGCATCGGCAGCTGCCCGAAACAAAACCTAAACCAGAAGAATGCGAGGCCTAACACCAATGTGCATTTCTTGAGGACTCAATTGAAGTGACAAGTCACTCAACGTCGGAGCCGGGAGAGGATAGAGATTAGGAAGCAAAGAAGCCTTGCGCTAAATACCGTGAGGGAGGACGTGCGGGGGAGGGGAGGGCTATTTTGGGATGCCCGCGACACTAAAACGCCCGTGGAGAGCAGCGGTGATGGGACAGAAGCAAGCGGAACGTTACGGAGCAGGGGGTCGGCCAGGGGGATTCTTACTGCAGAAATCATCTGCCGTCGATTCTGCTGGGTAGGTACGGTAGGTATGTAAGATAAGGGTGCAGGCTGTGACATAACTTAGACCCCATACACCGTACATACAGCAAAACCTCTTCAGAGAGGGTTAAGGATAGGTAGGTACTTACCGCTCTTGCTAGCCCAAGGAAGGGTATAGCTCCTCCGCCATGGCAAAAGAAGAAGAAGAAAAAGATAAAGAAAAAGAGGAATAAAAGAGGGAAAAAAAGAAGAAAAAAGGTGGGAAAAAAGGCCGCAATTTTTAGGTTGGGAAGAGGCTATACAAAGGAAGAGCAGCAGAAGCAGGATTTGGACGTACTACGTACTACTACAGTACAAGATTTTCCCAAACAGCGCTATGATCACCGGCCTGGCCTTGAAAGAAAATTTAGCAGCCCCAATAAAAGCCATATTCGCAGCTGCAAAGTTACGTTGTCAATAAAGCTTAAAAAAAAAAAAAAAAAAAAAAAAGGGAACCTGATATTGCTGTGAAGCGAGGTAAACATTCGGATGGTTTTATCACGTGATGGTTGGTGCCTGAAAGATAGATACCAAGCAAGCCTCTGTAATTGGTTCGTGGTAGTTGCTACATTCGCCAACCCGGTGACTTGTACTGTGTATGCGTTCATACGGAAGCTTTAGCCAAATTTATTGACATCAACGATTTGGCGTTTTTGTTTGGAGGGGAGGCGGTGGGATTTCTTGGCTTTGGCTTTGGCTTTGGCTTTTTTTTTTTTCTTTTCTCGGCCATGGGGAAATCTCGAATACGCTTCGTAATTCCGGTCTGCTGGGCTACCCGGCTTCGTCCGCCTACCGACATTCTGACTGTCTTGGTAGACGACTGTGAAACTAGTATTACACCGCTCGAGAATCATACTCCGTACGCGACGTACATAAGGCAGATCTCGTCAAAGTCGTACTCGTGCAAAAAGTATAATATGTACTAGCTTGTGTCCTGATGATTCCGTAGAGCCAGGTCTGAGATTAGGGGGTTTTCTTCTAGTGTCGACCTCGTCCTCTGCAGAGGCAGAGTTTAGCCTCGAGGTCACGAGCTCGGATTTCTTGCCCGTCCACCTCTATCTACGTAGTCGATGCTGTACTTTGGATGTAACGGTATCGGGTCGGCACTTACTCAGGGATCTCGAGCATGATCGGTACTGAGTACCGGTGCCATATCGTTCGTTGCCAACGGCGGGGGATCGGACGGAGATCGCTTTCTTGACTCCGTATTGAAATAACAAGGAAGAACCTTGGTGATTGAGCATCTCGGACACTGTTGATCACCCAGCCTGGGTTTACCTGGCTTTTGGACCCTGCTATGCTTTCGAATGCGGCTCTGAATACCATATGCCGGTGCGGAAGTCTAAAAGACGTGGTCGACGATGCGACGAGTCTCGCATCCGAGGGGGGGGTTTTATACTCTACACTAGTCCCGAGATGGCGTTAGTGGCCTCCCTGCTTTTCAAGTTCTTCGAGCGACGGAGAAGGCAGGGACGTCTGGTATCCGGCGTCCGCTTATCAACGGTCACATATTCATTCCTTGGGCCGGGCAGACGGCAGCAGACGGCAGCAGACGGCAGCAGACGGCAGCAGACGGGAGCCGACGGGAGACCGGCTGGGAGGACATGAAATAGTACAGTAGTACCGGTATCTTTCTTACCGAATGCTAATCTTCCGTGCAGCCAGGCACATCTTTCTACCGTATCGACACGCGCACGGGACATCACACAAACGAAAGGTCAAGGAGCGGGGGAAAGGCACATAGAGCTCTCACCACTGCTTCATTCAGATAAGGATCCGAGCCCGAGCCAGAGCCAATCATTATGATATGAGACTGAGCATGGTGCTCTGCGCCGCGTCCAAGGCACTATTGGAGACTCTCACTTCGGCCGAGGTATTCTAAACATGGCAGAAACCTTTTTTTTATAAAAAAAATCAAAAAAGTCGGAGGACTTAAGCTTGATTGGGACGATCTTCAAGCTACCACGGTACAGGCCTAAGTATTACCCCTCGAGGGTGCCTTAAAAGTTTAGTTTACACTTTAAACCCCCTGTTTTCCCTACCCTCGAGGGGTAATACTTACGCCTGCGACGTACGTAGTACGTAGTAGTATCAGACAGTGCTGAAAACAGTTTCTCCGTCATCAGGGGTCTATTATCACTGCGTATACCTGCCATTCGCTGCCAACGTACGTCTACTAGCCCTTTGGGAGAGGCCTTGCATAAATCAGGGCTCGGTTATTTTAAGCGAAGATAGGTTATTTTGATATGATTTTCAAACACATTCTTATACTGTACTGTGGAAAAGTAGTTTGTAATGTACAGCAATGATAACCGAGAGGATAGTAACTTCCTTCATGGTTAAGAATCAAGGGTCCAAGGGGGGGCGCAGTAGAGTTTTTTTGGTGCTTGACCATGCAACAATGGTACGTACGTACTACGTACGTAGACGATGATCTCGAACAGCAGCGATACATCTGAGGATTAAACTTTCCCTCGTCCCTCATACTATAGGCGCTTGGTCTACAGAGCATTGGCTTTACCTGAAGGATGACGTGGATCGGTTCTGGCTGTGAAAGGTCCCAAAAGTAAGGCAGTTCAGCAAGCTATGGGGTGGGGAGAGCACAGAAGAGTTTCCGATCAAACATTTCGAGCGCATTAATGAAATGAGCTAAGTACCAGGCCGTCCGTGGATATACTTTCCATCGCTCCCCTCCCACCTCGACAAGGCACTTCTCGCTAAACTCGCTTAGTTTTCCAAACCTACACCTTTCTTTCACTTCGAAAAACATCAGTCAAGAGAAGGTGAGAGGTGTGCTCTTCACGGTACACCCGTGTCCGGCCTCTGGGTTATTACGTGCTACTATATCGCTACCTCAACCCAACCTCCGCAGCTCCTCAGGAACCCAAAACCCCACGCGCGCAGTCGCTCTCCTAACAGCAAGTCCGTCCACGACCCCATCGCCTATCACAGACAGAGCACAACTGCCGTCGCCAGGGAGCCAATAAGGAGCTGTCGGAACTCAGACTCGAAAGTAACGAGAGCACCGACTCACCGAGAGAACAAGCAAGATTGTGAGAAAGTGGGTGTACTCTAATAAAGTAATTCCTTCAATCCTTAATCCTTCTTCTCTCCTGCAACCTTCCCTTCCCCTCCTGCCTCCTCCCACCTCCCTCCTCCCTCCTCCCTCCTCCCTGAACCTCCCCCCTTCACTTCCCCTCCCTCCCCCTCCCAATACCTCCTCTCAACACGACCCCTCCCCCCCCTTCCCATCCAGAGAAAGCAAATGAACAAAGAACATCCACCCACCCAAGCAGAGCCCGGTCTGGAGCATCCCTCCAGACCCGCTTGATACATAGTAGTACAAATGATATACTACGTACTTACCATACGTCTGCTCCATCCACCCCATCCATCCACCCATTCAAGTCTACTTACCACGTACGGACCAGGCTGCTACAATGCAGGTAAAGATCCACTCCCAGCACGAGTGCGTTGAGAATTAAATACTGTACCGGTATGTACGGTAGATATACGTAGTACCCACGTACGTAGTACGTAGTACATATCCGGGACGAAAAACTCAGGCGGGACGGACGCTACTGCATTATGCCGAAAATTCTGTTTCCTTAATACACACACACACACACACACACACACATACACACACACAAAAGCCAAAAACCAGAGAAAGAAAAATTACAGAAAAGACAGCTTATCATTATTATCATTATTAATTATTACCATCATCATATCTATCATCATATCTATCAACATCAGGCCGGTATCCAAAACGCAAAGACCCCTCCCTCCCTTCCCATAAGCTACAGCGACGCGCCAAAGTAAACAGGAAACCACACACCACACACCAAGCACCAAGCACCAAGCACCAAGCACCAAGCACCAAGCACAAAGCACAAAGCACAAAGCACAAAGAAAGTACCATCCAATCGCGAGCAGAAAAACCCCCCGTCGAGGGAAAAGCTCTCGGCAGAAATAGCTGGACGCCACGGAAAGAAACCCCCTTGAAGAGCAATCTATAAGTGCCGTGCCGTGCTATGCTGTGCGTCGACTTTCCCCTCGACAACTATCGCTCGGATACGTATGTGTGTGTGTGTGTGAGTTTGAGAGAGAGAGCCTCAAAAGGCAGCCCTCGGGGGTCCGTATAATAGGCACAAAACACAAAACACAAAACACAAACACAGATACAAACAACAAACAACAAACACCATCCTCACTCTCGTCATAGAGCTTTAAAAAGAAAAAAAAAGAAAAAAAGAAAAGACTCGCGTTCGTAGTAAGTAGTAGCCCCTTGGATAGGATAGAATAGAATAGAATAGAATAGAGCCGGGTCCTCGTTCGTTTTCGAAAGGGCGCAACGCGGTCCCGTGTTTTCGATCAGATCAGATCCGTCGAACGAACGAAGCCCTTCCCTTCCCATCCCTTCCCATCCCATCCCATCCCATCCCATCTCTTACACACCCCCATCCGCTCCCCTTTCCACCGCACCGCACCGCAAATCCGCGTGGGCGTGGGCGTGGGCGTGAGGTCTTTTTTTCAGTCAGTCGGGGTACGTACGCCCCGTCCGTCCGTCAGGTAGGTAGGTAGGTAGGTAGGTAGGTATATAGATGATCGTAGTCGGCGTGATTGATTCATTGATTGATTGATATTCGAGAAAAAAGAAGAAGGAGGGTCAGTCAGTCCACAACCGCCACTGGCAGCAAGATCTCTCCTGGAAGAAGGAAGCGACGTCGCGTGTCGATGGTTCCATTTTCGGCGCGCCTCCCTCCAGACTGACTGACCCTTTCTCTCTCTCTCTCTCTCTCTCTCTCTCTCTCTCTCTCT